TATAGGTTTCCTTCGGTTGGCCGATTGTGTTACCGTAAAATCTGGAGATTCGTCCGGGATTTCTTGATTTTTCCTTTGTCTTTGTTCGTTCCGATCAAACGTCATCGCAAGGTAGTATCTATAGCAAGACCGAAGATTGCCATCTAGTCGCATTTCTTATTATTATAAAAAAAAACCGTTAAGTGTTTACGAAAATAACTTCCGCCTACTCATCCATCGAATCGTCTTTGTGGGACGAACACGACTAAGGGCGATTTTTTTAAAAGGATAAAAAATATGTACATACACATACCCTAGAGTAAAAATAATACATAATATAGAGCTGCTGTGACATCATAGTATAGTGCATTCCATAGTGAAACAATAGATTTTAAAATAGGCAACGATTTTAGTGCCGAAAATATTGTAACAATTCGTTGCTCAGCAACGAAGTAATCAAAAAGGCAAGCGACAGTGTGACCGCTTAAAATTAAAATAAATACTTTTTTATATAGTTTATTAAACTTACTGTACAGTATAATCCTTATAAACGTTACAGATCAACAGATAAAATCGAATAACATATTATAATATGAAAATATGATAATATTATAACTGATCAATAGTATTTTAGTATCATAAAGTTGCAGTAGAGGAACAAATTCAGAATAGGTATCAGAGAAATGTAATTTGGTCATTTTGGTCACACTGCAGCTCGCATTTTCGTAGTTTTTCTTGTCAAACTTAAAATTACTAAATATTTACCTTTTTATTTGGTGGTTTCCAGAATTCTATCCACTTTTGAAACTTAAATGGTAACCTGTATGTTTTATTAACTTTTTGTATTAAAAATAATTTGCAGAAAATGTTTACTGGTCTATAGCCGGTTTTAGATAATTACATACTTATAGTTATAAAAGTGAGAAAAACTAATAAACGTCGACTATTTTAAAAATGAAACGATTGTCTTACGTTGAACTGACCACCCTGTAGAAACTTCACTGTAGAAACTAGAATGTAAGTACGCTCCTATTTACTAATTAACCTCGTTGACGATTTTTTTTATTATTGACTGGCATCTGTTTAATCTTTAACTGTTCTACGAACCGGATAATCGATTCGCGTGTGCAATACATCTTACATCTTATTGTTAGTAGTCGTACACTTACAAGAAATCTTGTGTCAGATAAAACCACAAAAGGTTAGCCGATGTAGGATAAATACCGCGCAAAGAAATTACTGGATAGAACACGATTAAAGAAAATTAAAACATAACATTTCAAACTGCACAACTCGGTTGCTATTTCTTTCCAACAAATTAGGTTAGGCTTATTATGTTGTACTGTGAGTGGTTAAGTACTTAAATTTGAAAACAAAGACGTGCCCGCTGATTTTGTATCGTCTCAGCTACATTCTAAAGTCTTCTCAACTCAATATAAAGTTAATCTAATAATAAACTTACCGTACGGTACTTTTAACGCACATTTGCATATTTACAACAAGTAGTTTTATTTCACATTGATGTTATATCATTTTTTTTTTTATTGAATGCAATAAAATAATTTTACTGTTATGACATATTTTATAAAACACATACTTCGGTGCAAGGTTCGACCAGAAGTGCCCAAACCTGAACCATCTTCGACCTAGCCCGTCGGCCAGTTTGCACGTTCCAAGGAAGGAATGAGGCGTTCTTCAGCTGGAGTTAAATTTTTAAGTAGTTACTATAACCACTGTTGCCTTTTCCCGTCTTACATATTACGATTTGCTGGGATACAGGAAGTGCGTCCTTTCCAAGTTGTTCAGAGCCGTAGAACAATGATGATCAAACCGGTTCTGTCGGTCATTACATGTAGTATAGGTGCTCGCACGCTCAATGCTCGTATGCTCATAGTATAGTCATTAATTAGTATAATATAAAAAGTATTAACAAATAATAACGTAGACATTTTAAAACTTAAAAAAAAAAATTGTTATTATTTTAATTAGTCGTTCTCTGTATTAGTAAAACTCTGCGGTAACATTGCCTATTTATAAGGAATTTGAAATGTACAAAATAATCATCTTAGTTATCTGTCAATGTTGACATACCTTTAGCTTATACGCGGTAATCGTTTGATATGTATCTGCTAATTTAAATAGCATACACTAGCGTTGTGCCAAAAATTGATTGAATGTTCATTTAAACGGCAACATTCTGAAAAGAAGGTATATTCTTGAAGCTTATATAGGGGGGGGGGGGGTTGTAAGACGTACAACATCATAATTTATCACCTAATTAAAAAATCGCTTGTAATTAGTGCCGTAATTGTATTGTTGTTATCTATGAAGTTAGGGTTTACAATTATATTCTAGTAATACACATTGTATGTATCTAAATTTGTTTATAAACTGACGAAATCTTTAAAAGCGTTTTTCCTTTGAATTTGTCGTTCTTCGTTAACCCCAGTCAAAAGTCTTAGGTCAAAAGCATAATAAATAATAATATGTGAAATTGAAAAAAAAATTGCACTGACAACTGACAAGTTAGCATAATAGTATACAGTTTTTCAACGGACCGTTCACCGTAACAAATGCCAAGTCTGAAGTTAAAGCACAGCACATTGTCGTAGTACTTTATATCCTTTTTACGACTTCCCACGCGTTTACTAAGACTACACAATGCGGTTTACACTCGGATGCTTACTCGGTTGTTAGCTCTTACACGCTGGACGATTGATGTGCCGTTAATTAGTATACATTTATGAGTTAGTAGTACATAATAAAAACCGTTTGAACGACTGTAACCTCAACAGACCGGTTAAACCCTATGTAAATCGATAACGGTTCATTATTTTCGAGGGCACGTATACTTAACATTTGACAAATAAAAGTTTGTGTGTCATAGGAACTTCATATATATATATATATATATATATATAGAAGTTCCTATATATATATATATATATATATATATATATATATAACAAACGGCCTATACCTATACCGTTTCGGTATCGATACACGATCATTGCCCTAAGTATTTACTATTTACCCTACCTAACATATTATTATTGTTGTTGTACTATTATTTCTGCAAACTTGCGCGGTATATGAATAATATTGGTAATTATTTTATTTGAATTGTTATTTCGTTCAATAAGCAGTTTAAAAATTAGAAATAAAACAACAGCTATGACAATAAGTTTTTTATTGATATCAATTTGTTTTTTAAATTCAAATTTTGGATTTTACACACATTGTTATTACCGTATGGTACATATTATAATAGCTATTGTTTCTTAATAACGTTTCGTTGTTAGGTAATTGTTGGTTCATTGCAAATAATCGATTGTTACAGTCCCCCCCTCCCAAAAAAACCTACGTTATAAACAGTTTTTAACTACAAACAACAATGGAAAATATGTAGGTGTGTGTGTGTGTTTTTTTTCTACAACCGATTTGGTCATTGTACAACAATCTAAACAAATGATATCCTACATAAGGTTTTATTTTTTATAATAATTATTACTCTGTTTGAGTAATAGCTGATATTATTGGATAATCAGCACACACACACACACGAGTATTTTCAAACAAATATTTTAAAATCCAATCTAAACGACACGTGAACTCACTGGGAGACTAAACCAAACAGATTTGACCAGCAGAGGAGCCGGCCAAGAGAAAAAAAACGAGGTCAATTTTCGATTCGTCACATGTAATGTTATGTGTTGATGTTTTATGTTTTGCCATTATTGTTGTTGTCTTGGCGGGTTTCTCCAAAGTCGATGACATGGATTCGTAAAGGTTAAAAAGCTATACTGCCTTGGTAACATAATAACCCAGTTCTGAGCAAATTACTCGCGCGCCGTCCAAGTACAGTTTTCATACCGAGTTCTATTCACTGAAATCAATTTTACAAAATATAAAAGAGAACACACGCGGTGTTTCCACCAAAAGACTTTGGTGAAAAAAAAAATAACTATCCAAAGACGGTTTTTTTAGAATATGGTATAATATATTATTATTGTATTATTGTGCGTTTTTTCTTAAAGGAGACGAAGAGCCAACGTCCGTTTCGGTTTAACATTAGCACAAGGACAATGATATATGTATATATATATTATTATGTCGTGGCGAATAATATTCTACAGTGTGCATTAGCCTCTCATGATGTGTGTATTGGGTACAAGTCGTTGACTGATCTTCATCAACACATGTCAGCAAACATATATTATGTACATGCGCGTGTACGCCTGCCAATTTAGCCTTTGTATACTTACAAATTTCAAATTAATTTTATATACATACTGTCCAAGAAAATATGACTTTGTCGTCATACTTGAAAATTTCAATCCGATATGTTATTTATACATTTTCCTTTAAAACTAAATACTAGGAATTGCCGTCGAAGTTAAAATATATATTGCAATATTATTCTAATGTCCGTATAATTATTATACACCTTCATCAGACGGAGTTTAGATTTGATAATTAATGATTTGTATCCGAACTTACTGAACGTGGTGTTTGTATCTGAAATGATCCAAACAAGGAAAACATATTTTACTTTGCGACGTCCTTAAAAATAAGTTACCAAGTAAAAATTATATAAACACTCTAATTATGTATTTCGTTATGGTTTGGTCGATCCAACCTACTTATTGCTCTTTATTTACCCCAATGCGAATTTAATTCGACCTTCAATCGATAATCGGGATAATATTATAATCATTACGATTTATCTATGTTTGAAATTGTCGATGACTGTAGTTTTAAAGTCCTATTAAGGCGTTTCAGATTGAAAATTGGTAGGTCTAGCCTTTTTTATTTATCTATAATGACAATAAACTTATTTTAAATAAAGCCTACGAAGGTTAGCTAAAGCATATATTAGCAGACAAGTTACAAGGTGACGGTACTTATACATTAACCACGCAAATTACTGTAGGAAATCCTCGATGTTGATACAGTCTATTCTTATTATAAACCCCCAATATAAGTTGCAATACATATTTTACTTGATATTATTTTTTCAGAGTTTTAAAACTAATGTAAGCATTAGACATGGGTACCGGTACCCGGTGGCTGGTGACCCTGTGTTTGCTGGCGGCAGTAGAATGTGTTCCTTCCAGAATCACTCATCAATCGGAAACGGACTCGGAAGACTCGAGAAAAGTGCTTGGTTCGAGGTAACACTGAAAACGATTATCATTTTTTACCTACAACAGCTGTACAAACCTATACCAACTGTTCAATTGTAACTAATAACCGGTTGAATTTATTACTTTTTTTTAGCGTCGTGACTTCAGTGTCTGTAATCATGGACCACGGTAACGGAACAAAAACCTATTTTGCGGACGGACAAAGCAAGAACGTCCACAGGCCGTCTGAAACCATCGTGGGCAGCCCAGGCAACCTACTATCGCCCGATCGTTATGAGTTCTACACTTTTGATGAAACCGGTGATTTGGTCAAGCGACTCATGACCCTCGACGAAATACACGGTTTGATTGCCGGAGCCGATCCCGAATCCGTCATGGCCGATGCTTCCCCTACATACTATCACGATGCACTCTCTAGTCATTCCTCGGAAGCTCTGATGCACTTGCCCGCCACAGACCTGGAGTCGTTAGACGCACCGGCCGTGCACAAGGTGTTGGAGAGTGTACAGAATGTGCTTAAGAACGAGATGGCCGCCAATTCGGGTAAACCGTTAGCTCCGATTCCGGTCATACCTTTGCATCACTCGGAGACGGCTTCTGCGTGGTCTGCCCTGTTCCCGGGACTGATAGAGACTCCGGATGACGTAGCCCACTTGTCGGGATACCTGCTCCCGTCCAAAGTGGCTGAGTCGGCGAGTAAGCCACCGTTGAAAAAACCTTTAGCAACCACTAAGCAACCCGTCGTCACAACGACTATGGCCAGGTTGCCAACAACAACAACGAGTACGACGGAAAAATTCAAGTTTACGCCCCCCAAGTCCACTACAACCGCCAAGTCACCTGAACTTACACCTTTGTTCACGTCCACTTTCAAACCGACTACAGCTGCTGCTAAAAAGCCCTTCAGACCCGTACAGTCGTTCGATAAACAGAAGCCTACGGCACCTAATCCGACACTAGTGTTGAAACCTACCGATAAACCTTCGCCGCATGTGGCGGATAAACTCGACATAAATAAAGAAATGTCGGCATCGTTATCGGACATGCTATCCCAAGTGACTGATAGTCAGTCGGCCAATAATAATCCTATACAAAACAACGCTCTTGTCGAAAAAGACAACACAGCAGATTACATACCAGAAGAAAGTTCCCCGGAACTTAGTTATTACAGCCCGGTAGCGTTGTCGCTGACCTCTCCGACTACGCCAAAACCTACTCCCGCACCTGTTGCCGAAGCATTGACTACTGTTAAAAAGCACCATTCTACAGCTGCCACTTTCAAAAGTACAACTACGGAAATGCCACCGTTGCAAAAAACTGTTTCTACCAGTACAATGACAAAGTTTGGACCGAGTAAATTCAACAACACCAAATTGAGACCACCGACGAATTTCACCATATCTTCAGTAGTGACCAAGGCTCCACCACCGTCTTTCAATAACAAATTTAACGGGTCCACGTACGCGGCCACAACTGTTTCTTCGACTAGAAATAACTACCACTATCCACCGAGTAATATGTCCACTAAATACATGCAAAAAATTACACAAACCACACCACAAGCGTACCCGAGTAATGCAATTAACTCTTTTGTCAAATTAGTTAACAAGACAATTAATAATAACGGAACGTTTAATATAAAACAACCAAACGACACTATATGGAATGCAACTGAAGAATTAAAAAATAAATTCAAAGAGCCAAATAAAGTATTTTCAAATAAAGTGATCACTTCGACCCGACCGAATATTATAAATAGGACAAATGTCACATTATCGAATCGCATACAGGAATTGAAAACTACTACTACTACTACGCCCTTGTACGGTTCAGCGACTTATACTACTACCGTCCGAAATATGACACAGCCTGAACAATACATTTCCGTTAAAGTAGATTCGTGGCCTACGACCCCTCCACAATCAATATTTGCTACTTCAAATGCGTACATGAGTAGCACTCCAAAAGCGTACATGCCAAGCAGCGGACAACCTTTCAACTCGTTCACCGATTCAAATACCATCAGAGAACTTATTTCATCTTTAATGACGACACCAACTACTTCCAGTCCAAGCAATGTCGTGATTACATCAACCACTACTGGAGCTGATCAGCTACTTACACCCGTGGCGTCAACCACAGTGGCCACGTTCCTAAAGAATGCAACAGGAAACCCAGCAGCATTAAGTTCGTCGACTACTGAGACACCAACTACCGTCACAACTACATCAACAGCCGCCACATCAACCACAACACCATCGACAACAACATCCTCGGCAGCTACACCCTCAGCAGCTACATCATCGTCATCAACTTCATCATCATCAACTTCATCAGCTTCATCATCATCGACTGCATCATTATCGACTACATCGTCGTCAACTACATTATCATCGACTACATTGTCGTCAACTACATCGTCACCAACGTCTGAAGCTACAACTACTACCTCCACTGCTATTAACTCAGTTGGAAACTCGGTTACCAACAGTACTACAGAAACGGTAGCGTTGCTGGTAACGTCGACTACTCCCGAATCAGAAACACAGTACGTGCCTGTAACACATTTCTTGCCAGAATTACAAGTGAAAGACAAGCCAGAAGCTGAACACCCGAACAACAGTGCACCCGGCGTAGATCCGTTGCTTAAAGACGGAATATCTGCTGTGGCCAACATGCTTCAGAACACTCAAAAACCGTCAATACTTAGCACCGAATATCTACCGGTTAACACACGTCCTTATGAGAAGTTTGTGACTGCAGGAGTCGCCAAACAAACATCCACGGAACAAGCCAGAAGACAGTCGACGATCAAGACGGATATTGATGATATTTCCACCACGACGATCGACAACCTAACGACACAAGAGCCGTACGAGTTTACTACGGCCGAGTCGACGACGAGATTCTCCGAGTCCACCAACGACACGGTTGCCATGGAATCAGCGACCATAAACGACAAGGAAGACATATCCCGGATCTCTGAGCCCGGTTTGGACATGTTGACAGTATTCAACGTCAGCTCGACCGGTATTCCCGTACAAGCAGCTAAGTTGGCCGATTTGTCAGCAGAAACTCAAATAACGTTCGACACCACAGGCACAACACCATTTGATAACCACATCACTGACCCTGCTACCACCACCGAAGAAGTGGTGACCACAGCGCGAGCGGTTACCACTCCATCTACGACTACCACTGAAGTTACCCAGAGCCCAACAAAACAATCTATTGTTGTCACAAGCAATGCACCTGAAAACTCCACTACATTCACACTGGTGGCAACAACAACACTGTCCAATCATAAATCACCCATTGTATCATCAAATGCGTATAGACCGTTGTCCAATAGCGCGTCTCCTTCCACCGTCGAGCTGCATCCGGCCCCACACGAGAGCATGGGCTTGGAAGCCAGCGTAGCTTTTCTCGGCGATGACGTCCGTCGATTTGCTGACTTGTGCAACGAGCTGTCGTTCAAAATGTGGACGGCTGTCACTGGAAAAGGTCAAATAGCTTCGAGGAGTTTGGTGTTGTCTCCGTTTGAGCTGACCGCCATGTTAGCAATGGTGTTCTTGGGTGCCCGTGGTTCTACTTCTGGTCAAATGAACGACGTACTCCGGCTGGACGACATGGTTACGTTCAATCCTCACCAAGTACTCAGGAACGTTACTCAGTCCATTACTAACGCAAACAACCCTGGAGTTGCCACCGCGTCTTTTGTACGCGAAATATACAGTCACAAGGTATGTTAATATTTTTAGTTTATGAATAATAATTCGACTTAGGAGCACAATAACTGTAGCAATAGTTAAAATGATAACCATGTAAATATATTATGATGCTTGCAGGGGAACGGAAAAATACTAGACTTCTACAAAGAACGCGTTCAACAATATTACGACGGACACGTGGAAGAAGTAGACTTTAACACAATCGGCGACGTGCTGAGAAGACGAACCAACTTGTTAGTCAAGAGGCAAACTTTGGGACGAGTCGTCGAGTATCTCCGAGGATCTGGTTTGAGCTTAACTCCGCCTTTTGCAGCTTTCAGCGCCAACGTGTTCCAGGTAATTGCACACATTTAAAGTTAGCACGCATAACCGTACAGTGCACAATGATAACGATAGCTATTTTTTTTATTTTAGACAAGTTGCGAATCTGCTTCCACGGAAGGCAGGGACGGTGAGATGTACTTCGTGGTGAGACCGTCGACCAGACAACGGCGGTTGGTACCCGTGCCGGCGGCCGTCTGGCGCAGCGGCTTCCTGGCCGGTTACGAGCCCGGTCTGGACGCCACGGCGGTCAGCCTGAGTCCCGATTCGGTCATATCCACCATACTGATCTTGCCCGGGCAACAGGGACAAGTGGCGCCCGGCGACGGGCTGACCCGGCTGGAGCAGCGGCTGATCGAGACGTCGTACCGGCGGGGCGGATGGTCGCGGATACTGCGGAGCCTGTTGCCCAGGCCGGGGCTGGAGTTGCAGATACCGCGGTTTTCGCACCGGTCGGTGTTGAACACGACGGCGGCGCTGCAGAAAATGGGCCTGAAGGACGTGTTCAGCGAGCAAAAGGCCGACCTGAGGGGCGTGAACGGGCTGTACGACCTGTACCTGTCCGACATGCTGCAGGTGAACACGTTCAGCACGTGCGGCGAAGACGTGATCGGCGCTAGGCACCACGTGGAAACGTATCCGGCGTCGCCACAGCGGATGGGCCGCGCTGACGGGATGCCGTCGTCCGAGCAGGAGCGCCGGAGGAAGCGGTACGCTCACGAGGCCGCCGAGGAGCTGCTGCGCAACCCGTACTCGCACTTGCCGCTGAACCTGCGGCCCAGACAGGCCAGGTTGCCAGACGTGCCCAGGTTGAGGTTCGACAGGCCGTTTTTGTACTTGGTTCGGCACAACCCGACCGGCATGATCGTGTACTTGGGCCGGTTCAACCCGAGACTGCTACCTTGAACGACGAAATACAGCTAAGACGGTATCAGAGATTATCCAAAATACCAAAGTTTACATCCCCCCCCCAACCCACCCGCCCAAAGATAAAGGTATTCTTATTATCGCTCTGTTGCAGTGAAGCATACCTATACTCTCCAAGCACTGAACCCGATATATAACAATACGAAACGCGCCATGTTGGACGCGGCCATGTTGTTTACATGGAATTTTATGGATAGTAAGACCACTATCTAAGTTGCTTTTCCATGAAAAATATACGGAAACGTTATCTCTAAAATTTTAACTGGCCAATTTCAGTGGTGATAACGTGGTATATTATTTGATAATAAACCATTGCAAAAACAATCAACTGTTTTCAATATGGCGGCCATGCAAAATGCGCATTTCGCTTATCGAGTTCAGTGATTTTATTTAACGATTCTAAAAGCCCCTCCAAAAAAAAAAAATGTTGAAAGAAATCCCCATAAATTAAAGTCTTGCAACAGCAGGTATTAATAATGTAATAATATAATATTATGTAAGTACTATCTTGTAATCTAGGCAAACGTCGGTCGTGGAATACTCGAGATAAATGTATAGTTCTTTCCTAATTTAGTTTTATAGAATTTAGCGATACAGGTGATCATTTTTTTTTCTTTTGTTGAATGGAAATTATATATAATATATACATATATTAGTCGATTTCACTGACATTATACAGTAAACTTAAAATTTTTAAAATTATTGATCTAACATATTCGATATTTTATCATTTATTTTAATAAATATTATATGTCGATCGATACACTTTTAAAATAGCCTGTAATCTTGGTAAAATCGACAGTTAATAACACATTGAATAGTGTAAGAAATATAATATAATATATTTTTATATTATTTTAATTATGTTATAGGTAATTATTGTTTTTAAATATTTAGCTTACTAATTTTTTAAGTGCTACTACAATATTATTGTGACACGGCTTGTGATATATTTGGCAATAATTATTTTTGTTTTTAAAATAATGTATACAATATAATATAATATTTATATGTTTGTTCCTAAAGAATTATCTGTATTTTCAACTTAACATTTTGTAATAGTATGTATTTATTTTTTTGGATTGTATTCATAGTATTAATATAGAAGGATTGCGCATATTATTTTAATGTTAGGTACAGTTTGAATTATTTGTATTATCTTTTTGATATTGGTAAGTACGTTTTTGTATTTTTATACTTTTTATGAAACCACAAATCGAATAACAAATAAAACAGATTTATAAAGCCTACCGACTAATTTTTTATTTAAACCATTAGTAAAACCATTACAAAATAAAAAGAGTGCATTCATTTTTGTTTCACACGTTACTATGTAGAAAACTAAAATCGATAACATATATTATTAATTTTATAACCAACATAAGCGTTTTCAAGTCATTTGTATTTACTTAGAAGTGCACAACAATTAGTTATCACTGTTACTTTTATTTCCTTTTAAAATGAGACGCAATTAATTGAAAGCATGTTTTAATTCTCTTTTTATTGCTTCTTACTCGATTACAATAATCATTTGGACTTTAGGCGGTCAAAGGTGAAATGTCAAAAGTTTTACATAACATTCTATTTAATATTTACAGCCAAAAGGTCGTACGAATCATTGCCAAAACAATGTGTTCTATAGTCGGATCACGCTGGTACTTAACCTAACCTACAACACTACTAGTACACAATATCGGTATGACACAAATATACTTCAATACATGTGTTCATTTGAGTACAAGTCATCAATTCATGGATTGGTATATTTTAATGTACAGTAAATTTTTATCTCTTATTAATAGTATATATTTATATATATATATATATATATATATATGAATTGTATATCAATATATTAATTGTGAATTGTTATCAATAGTTTAATATATATATATATATATATATACATTTAACAAAAATATCATATTGGCTGACTGTGACAAAAAATCCATAAAAATATACAATGAATGAAAAATAATAAACATTTTTTTTCTTCAAATAACGGTGTAAAAATAAAATTTTCTGGGAAAATAAAACACTAAATTTGGGCAAAATAATTCAAGAAATTAAAAAATTTCTTTTTGGTTGTTTAATGTACTGTTTTTATTTTTTAATGGTTCTCTTACACATATGCATGTTACCAATCTTGGAGGGTCCAAAATAGAGAATAAAATTATTAACTAGAACAAAATTAGTTAGTAACAATATAATAACACAATGATTATTATTTTTTCTATCTTTTACACTTTCTTACGGCGATGCCCTCTTACGACAAATTAACTAAAATTTTACTAAAAAAAACGTTTACACTGTAATATCATCATTGATAGAACAAACATAGATATTAACAGATAGTAGATACAGTACTTTCGGTACTACTTCAAACGCTTCATGTGCTTACCGTGCGGTAAATTAACACTATTAATTAACTAAAAGTATTAAAAAAAAATAGATATACACAGAGTGTACCACTGTACCGTGTACTTACCACGGTACACTGTAAGAAATCATAAATTGGGAGTTTTTTTCTGGATTATAATTTTGTTTTTTTTCAAGTATTAAAATATATTCAAACACTCACAGTTGAATTATTAGGTACAGATTTCTATTGTCCATCCATTCGACCCAAAGAACGGTTTTCTTTTCAGAAAAAATAAACTTTTGACTTAAATAATAAATAATTATTAAATAATGTATTAATAGTATACCTATTGACTAATGGAAAATAACAACCAGCTGTAATACCTATATTGGCTAAGTTATTTGTGTTAAATTTTAGAAAGTACAGTGAGTCATTCGATTCCGATACACCCTGTGCATATTGGTCATAGTCCGGTTTTCCTTAAATAGACGCCAATGCTAATAAAAAAAAAAAATGCAACCTAAGCAATGACTATTTTTGTGCGTGTGTACTGACTAATCGAATAATAAGCTTTATTTTTTTTGTATTGTATTGTATTGTTATTTATCTATCAACCAGAAGTTTGTAACATTACATAGGTAATGTGTACAACAGTAATGTATTTATTAGGTAAACGCTCAAAGTTCACGAAAACATTATTGTCTACTTGTGTACGTACACAACACTAAAAAAATAACTACACAAAAATACAGTATTAATAATTATTACGCTGTAACGCGCACAATAATATTATAGTGTACCTAAAATTAACACTTATCAAATCTAATTTTGGAATTGTCTTATGTAACAATAAATACACAGACCATGCACACCTAATATTTATTTAAAATTGCATGCGTTTTTTTTAAAGTAAAGGCTATTAAAAGATATAGGTTAATTACATAATATAATGATAATCAATCACTTGAAAAAAAACATGTTTGTCAGAATATGATGTGTATTTAACAACAATTGGTTTCAAAACTCCATTTCCAATTGGGTAGTTTTTATTTCATTTTATATTTATACTTGTATAATATATATTGTTGTTATTCATATCAAATATTAATTTCTATCAAATAAACATTAATTATAGGACAAAGGCGATTTTTTTTTGGACTATTCAATGACCAAGTTAGTAAGAGAACTTTTTCTGCAGGCCCTCCTCTCTTAAAAATGTTTAAGTTCTTATAAATAAGAAATACATGTTTTTATGGGACTGTGTGGGGTGAATAAAGATGTACCCAATATAAACATATAAACGTTTTTCATTGGCCAAAAATGTATTTCAAAGTACAATCAACTGTTGTTTGCTGCTACTTAAACTGTACAACATTAAAAATATCACAATTCACATAATACCATTTGCTATTATAACTTTAAAAAAAAAACAAATACACTTTATGTTAAAAAAAAATAGTTTGGAAAGAAATAAAAACAATACATGCTAATCGCATTAATCAGACGGTATAAATATTATTTATCGTAATGCCCTATGATTTTTTTATTGAATTACAGCAAACAAAAATAACAGCAAGTTTGATTTGGTAATCTGTACAGTGTACAGATAATTGAGTGAAATTATTAATAGATTTAACAGGTGTTACATACTAATCACTGAAAAATAATGAATTGCGCCATTCATCGGTCTGCTAAATATATGGAATTTACTTCAACAAACTAGACCGGTTGTGTTATATGTTTTATAGATTATATTTAATATATAATACAATACAACGGTTGTTTACCATTAAAAAGCTAAAATTCACATTCTTACAAGAATATATTATAACATGTTATATGACAAAAAATGTTTTGATATTATCTAAAAAAAAAATAGTTTAGGTATTGTTGAAACGAATGACGGGCAAAAAAACAAAAAGGTTGAATAGATAATTATAGATAAAGGTACGAATAGAATTATATATTTTTTTTTTCATGTTTAAGATTAGTTGCACATAGTCTTAGTGTTGCAAAGCTCTAAGGCAATTAGTGTCGTCTTAATTGATGAACCTTATCACACGGAACGCGTGCCCGAATATCCAATTAGTTTTTTAATTACTCCTCCATTTAAATATATTTTTTCTGAAATTCATTTCCAGCCCTATTTAATTCGAATTCAACATAGTTAACAATTCCGTCGACAAGACCACGAATTGCAAGCACCTAACCAGTGTTTTCAGAGAACATATTATTGTCATATATACATTGTACATATACTGTATACATAATAATATATAATAGTATAAAGTGCAATGTCCTCTCGTTTGAGTGTATGACACAGTTGTCTTGTCTGTAGTGTATGATAATTGTATACTTTTACAACTCTCGGCCGCCATATTATTATGGTCTACTGTACTCAATTTGGAATTGTATGTATACAGGGCGATTCATCAAAGGACAAGACACCGGGTTTCTCTTGAAATAATTGCAATTTTGTAGTTTTTCATTTTGGAGACACTTTATTTTGTGCGGTTTTACAATATTGGACAATATTTTTGATACCTAAATGGTAAAGTATGTATTTGATTAATTTTTAGAAAAGTTTTAGTGAAAATGTTTACTGGTCGATAACCATTTTTGGATAATTACTTTTAAATTTATTGTAGTTTAAATTATAGGACGGATAAAAATAATTCTGCCTTTCTTCCAGTCTCAAATTTTAAACATTAAAAGTAATTAACAAATACTGCTGTTGTGACCTCTTGGGGGGATTGAAATCGTTCTGCTGTTTTAATGGTTTAAACCAAAAAGCTTAACAAAATGTCGACAATTCAAGAAGGTCAGATTTTTGCCCATAAAGAAGTGGTATATGCAATAGCCATATTGTAAATTTCAATCTTGGGTTTGGTTTTTTTTTACCAATAAAAAATTATACAGGCCTCCGGATAGGTTAGGCGAACAATATAATAGGTATATATATTTTTTAATGCGACTCCTGTGTAGATTAAAAAAATACTACCACTTTGCGCTGACGTGCAACGCATCACACACACACACACACATGTTATCGCTGTCTCATTAGCGACCACGTGAAGATAAGCTACAACACCGTGTATTATGGGTATTTACGTAGACAGGCAGGTATAGCTATATAGGTATAATATTATCATGTTTATATGCGTTTTGAGTGATGTATGTATGTATGTGTGTGGTTCTCTATTATCTGTATAGCTGCTGTGCCAGACGATGATGGAAAACTTTTAGTTGATAATTTTTTTCTTTCTATCTCTCTCTCTCTCTCTGTGTTTGTGTGTGATGTGTGATCAAAGGCCAGTAAATTGTGTTCAAACGCATCCGGACACCAGACCAGTGCAGACATGAGAGCCCAACACGACCGGAACAAGCTCAAACCCAAATCGTACGAGTACGTCACGCTCAACAGGTTTCACCTACCGGACGACCATGAATTCATCGACGACCTGTTGAACTTGGAAAAAGTAAGTACCTACCACCATCGCGATTGGCTTGTATTTTTTATTATTATTATTATTTTCATTTACAAGTCACAACGCTATCTCATGATCGTTATCACGACGATGACATTAGACACACACAAACAAATTTGATAATAGTTTATTTATTATAATATAAAATATATAGTAGATATTCGTTAAACGCTGCAAAATGCTATAACCGAAAAAAATGTATAATTGATAATAATACTGAGATTTAAAAAAAAATGTTTTATCCCTTATTGTTTTTACAACGAGGTGGTTTGATATTGACAAAAACTTGTTTGATCTTTTAACGTTAACAAATGGCAGCGTTGGGCAGCTTGTGGCCTGCTAAAGCTACATGATGATGATGATGGTGAATGTTCCTGAAATCCAACATATGTTTATTGTATCGTTTTTTTTTTGTTGTTAAAAAATGACGTATTTTAATTTAGGTGGCGCCCTATAATTGTCAAAGATGTAATTGCTATCTGCTAGATTTTATAACTGTAATTTTTTTTAGATGTACAATAAGGCTTGGTAAAATATTATGTTATTTGCCTCACACACATAGCCTGTACATAATATTGTAAATTATCGTTTGCATTACTGTCATGGACGTCTATTTTGATTTATGCTTTTTTTTATTATTACTTTATAAGTTATAACTAGTGTAATTTATTAGCTTTGGGCTCGCGGCAGCGGTAAAGCTATTGCTTATGTACAACGTTGTGTTTATATTTTCGTTATTTATGTGTATCTTCTAGAGTCTAGACCGCTGATTTCTTGGTGTAGCAACTGTACAGGTGGGAAATTGTACCAGAATAGTACTTAATTGGATCAGACATTGAAAAAAGTTCACCCCCCCCCCCACCCACCATTTGAAAATCGAGAAAACTACCTAAACATTTACTTTTTTTAGTTACAAATTTCTGGAATTCTTTTTAGACATAATACTACCCTTAAACGTTAACAAACCAAAACAAATATCATAAACCCTTTCCACTAGAAGTGGTTGGAAACCGTTTTCTTTATTTTGCTAGGTTTAGGTGTAGTTTTAGGGTTTAAGATGTGAAAATCTGTAGTCAAACATTTTTTTTAATGAGAAAAACAAAAAAAAAGAGGGAAATTGAGTTTTGACCGAGGTTAATTTCTGAGCTGGTATGTGAGTGTGAATCAACAGTATAATAATAACTAAATACTATAAACACTGATACTAAAAATGTCAGCGCAGAATTTTGCTAAAATCCTAACTTAAATAAAACTAACTACAGAATCACCAAAATCCTCTCATATCCCACCTATCCTTACTTACACTACCTGACAACCCCCCTCGTCGCCTTAAAAGGCGCTGGTGTCGAGATCTTTTATAAATGATAAAAATCAACAAATTTAATTAATTTAGTCTGAAGGGTCCTCTATCATTGGATGGCCTCCCTTATCATGCCATTCTGTTATTTATATTATATTATATTATTGTTTTGTTGTACATATCATCTCATTTAACTATTGTATTAACTAATACAGATTGTAAATTTTCAATAAAAAAAAAAAAAAAAACTTAAATAAAACTACACAAACCGACAAATTATATATATAATATTTTTATGGTAAAAACTTGAACGTTAATAGGAGTTTTACGATTTTGTTAGGTCTTTAAAGTGTTTGTAGCATTTTTTCTAAGCTAGAAGCGTTTTAAAATTAGTTTTCCCATCATAATTTATCATAGTATAATATGTTTATGATTCATAAATCAGTCGCAATAGACAATAAACAACAAATCTCTATTGTTTCCGTACTATTTAATCTTAACCGTGAATATACCTATCTATTTTTTGTTATTATAATTATATTATTATTATTAAAGAAATTGTTTTGATATTGACATTGTGGTAAAGGCCAATCTACAAATGCCAAGGTCTCTGTAAAAACTAGATAACCGCTATTATCGAGTGTATGAAAATGAATTGGCACAGGCATTACACTAATGACGTTATCAGCTACTATCAAACACACACAACCAATCATTGTATATTATTTGTTTTTCTTAATCAATTACTCATTGACATACATCTTTTATGCAACTTAGTCGCAGATCCGAACACCGTATTTGTCCTAACAGTCATATACAGATAATGTCTGTATAATTGAGTCACGGTCATACCGTTTAACTTGAGGGGTAGTTTTTCCAATGATCTCAAAAACTATTAGGGAATATTCGATAGTGATGAATTTTTACAAATTTAATGGAGGGCGCCCCTAAAATAGTTTATGAACAAAAAACCGTACCTCTAGTGCTTTAAGGACCACTCTAGTAACATATAATTAACACTTTAGATTGTTCCTGTTTTTTTTGCAGTAAATCTACCATAAGCACCAACGACCAATTCGTTATTGCTCGTTTTTTATTAGCATATTTACTTTGTTGAAAAACTGTAGAGGAAACACAATGACCATAGTATTTCTTCTCCAAAGACATGAATTGTTTTAATTACAGGCAATAAAGTGTGATCACTTTGTGCCGGCTATACAGACATTGTCTGAGATATTAATTAAAACTTTTTTTTATTTAAAATTTTTTCTCAGGACAACAACAATATACCGTTCAGTTTGTTGACCGACATATGCGTGCCGGTATCGTTGCTGCTTATAATAGTACTTTTGGGATACGAAATGGATTCCATGGGAACCGACGCAGACAGCACTCTAGTGTTAGTGTATGGAATTGTACTCATCGTGGCCACGGGTGGAGCTTGTGGCTATGTCGCCTTAAGGATGTCAGCCACGCAACCGTACAGACCAATGTCGATTTTGCCAGCAGAGGTAATTAGTATTGTTGTTGTATTATCAAGATAAAAACATCTTAGACAGTACTAAAAGTGTAAATGAACAGCAGGCTAGAATCAAAACTCACAAAATTCAAAATCACATTTTTCAGAAAAACTGGAAGAGGGTTTTGCTTAACAACAAAAAAAGTAGTTTGGACCGAAAATCGCTAATATTAAAAAAATTTCAATCTTAATAGTTCTCTTAAAATCTAATAAATCTAATTTTTTTTTTAATTATTCTGGTTAAAAATAGTTCAGTATCAAAACTCACATTTTCCAGTGGAACTTGTACTTAGTAATGGTCCTAATCAATACATAATATAAACATGTTCTTGCATGTTTTCAATATATCTGATAACACATTTGGATTGAGAGTCAGAACCCCTGTAATGCAGTGTTGCTAAATGATTTTCTCAATTTTTAGATCATGCTAGTTTTGATTCTAGCCTACTCAAATATTAAGTATAATAAAAAATATAATATCAACTTTAAACCTTTGTAAATTTGTGAGTACAACTCCAAGGCTTATTTGCATGGGTTAGTCAAGGTGATACATTATCAACTGATAATATGCTTATTATAAAACATAATAATATAATGGTTAGGAGAGCAACATTAGTCGAAAACGTTATTGGGATGATTACAAGAAATTACCTGTCGCCATTTTCGCGTTAAACTTTCAGTTAGAGAAGAGATATTAGAGATGATTGATAAGAGATAAAAAATGTATGATTCAATGTTTTTCCATGGAGCAGAGAAAATATAATAGATAGAAAATCATAATATTCTAAATATAATACACAGGTAACACCTGGTATAACAGAAAATGTAATTTAATTTTGTCGGTATTTTACAGGTAAAACTATTATCGCCGCAAAAATCAAGATCTCAGAGATACTACTATCAGAGTATACCGGAAGTGCACAAAGTCGGTAAAAAACGAACCATTACGTTTATGGTTTAGGCCAAAAACAAAAAAAACAAAACGCTGCTTTGTTTGTGTAATATACATTTTATGTAAATAGTATGAGATATGTGTGCAGAACTAATATATTGTGATTAATAATTATTGTAAATACTTTATGTACACCGCGTGAGTGTGTGTGTGGTGTTGTTGGAGTAATAGTTTTATTTTTTTAAACGGAAGTTCGTAATACTTGTAAACGTATCAGTATTAATGTATGGTACCTAATACTTATGTTTATGTAACTTTCTTGTAGTAACCTATTGAACATAATACTATATTGTAACTTATTGTTATGAGACGACAATCTAATCGCATTACTTTTTTAATGTTTAACTTAATTTAAATTATACGAAATTATATATATATAAATAAATATAACATGATATTATTTTTGTAAACATAACCAATAGTAGTTTTTCTTTTAATGGTCGAGTGCCGGCAAATCGCATAGGCAATTGTAGTGCTCTTGTGTGGAGTACACACACGAGAAAGAACCATAATGTAATTTTCTGTCTTTGTTCAACTAGTTTGAAGATTTTGCTATTTTAATTTTGGCTGTATAATAATTGTTTTGTTATAAATCTTATAGCTTTAAATTTTGTTTGATATTTATGCGCATTCGTTAACATGGTTACAGTTTGTTAGATAATGTTTTAGACACTGAAAAACGTAATGCGACAACCACATTTTTTTGGTTGGCAACAGCTGATAGATAATAATAATATAATGTTTATTAATGTGAACCGCTCAGCAGGTTGTCAATGTGACATTGTATAAGAATCAGATATGTTGCAGTTTTAATCAAATTATTACATAGAAATCTAAATGATAAAATAAACTATAAATTTGAACTAAGAAAATAAAAATTAGCATAGGAAATTAAAGCGATTAACTGACAATTTGGTTAAATCAACTATACCTATTTACATAAGTAGTATTAATTTTTGTTGAGTTCCTTATTGGACTCTAATTGGCATTAGAAACAACAATCAACAAACACAATGTTATTGCAACGATTGCAAGTCATTGATAATAATATTTATACACCGAAAGTGCAGTCAACAGGCGATGCATACTATATTCGTTGGAGACCGTAGACCGTCGAACCGTGCGTTGGTGTTGTCCAACTGCGAATGGAAAAGGCTTGGCAAACTTTTAACAAAGAAAGCCGACGAGGCCGCAGCTGTGCAAGAGATGAAGCGAGTCAAAGAAGAGCGACGAGCCTTGTCTGAGAGGTTGGCTAAGTCCTGGGACACTACCGTACTGGTATGGAGAACTTGTAATGATCATTTTATGACGATCATGCTAAACTTATAATCACTGTATAATCTGCGATTGTTGACAGAATAAACGAAGGAAACAATTAGAACAGAGGAAACAATTGCTGGCCGGTATAGAAGCCAAACAGGTGAAGAGGGACGAGCAAATGAATCGTGAGATATTGGAGCGCAGAGAAACAATATTGGAGAAGGCGCGTTTGCACAAATGGGCAGAAAAAGACTCGACGAAAACTCTCACAAGCGAACTGCGAAAGACCGAGGTAAATTTAAATTTAAAAAAATTATTCAAGCATGATGTGCATCTGCCCGGCTGTTTTGACTTGAGTTTTGTCCGTGATAGGTGTTGAGGGAAAGAGCGATGCAAATGCAATTCAACGAGTCGGAAAAACAGAAAGCTTTGGAAGAGGAACGGTCGATGGCTGAAGCACAAAAGAAAGAGACGGAGCAATACGAAAAACATAAGCTAGAACAAAAATTAAAAGAAGCCCAAGAAAAAGAAGCGAACAAAAAATTATTCATGGAAGAGTAAGTTTTTGAACAAAACTGTCTCAGGTTTATCGTGAAATGCACCGCTCAAGATCATCCCAAAGCTAATTTCATTGAGTTTCCCCATTTTCAAATCAGCTCCCCAGGGACATGTTTTATATAGTCACTATACCTATACGACTTTGTTGAATAATAAAACAGGGCTAGAATTTCGGAAATAAAAAAACGCGAAGAAGAAAACAAACGAAGTGAAGAGGAACAAGCCGAACTACGAAGGATCGCAAAAGAAATCGAAGAAGAAAAAGAGCAAAACAAAGCTAAGGTCCGGTGAGAACACTAAACAGGAATGCGGCGTACCTAGCTTATACTGTTGTCATATTGTTTACACACCCAGCTCCAATCTTCCAAAGAAAGTATGATGAAAAATCTCAACGATAGCCGGGAGATAGCGGCCAAAAAAAAACAGATGGAACAGCTGGTTGAACGAGACGAAGACATGGTGATAGCGATTTTGGCCGAGGCCAACAAAAGGATAGCCAGAACGAGAAAACTAAAAGAAATAGAGGTTAGTAGCAGGCTAAGACGAAATGAATCGATATCAGAGACATTTCTTTGATTGCCGAGTAGATCGCCCGAGCAAAGCAAGCTGTCTTGGAAAAAATCAAGGAAAAGGTGCGCGCTAAACAAGCCAAGATGGGCGAACGGGCAGAAATGGCTTTCCTCAACGCGGTCGACGAACAAGAACGCAGGCAAGTGTACTGTAATTATTGTTTGTTGTAGGTCGATGGTACTTATATGTCTGAATAACATTGCTTCCAACTACACGAAGGTACCGGAGGGAAGAAGCCGAGAAAAGGGCGGTGGTCAAGAAAAGAGCCGAGGAAATGGAAGAACAGATGAAGGTGATGGATCAAGAAAGACGAAAGGAGCAAGAACGGTTGGCGCTGAGTTTTCAGTGGGAACGGCAAAGACGCGAACGGGAGATGGAAGTGCTTAAGGAATCAGATCTGGCCAAGAAACGAGCCGAGCACGAGGCGAAGAAAAAGTTTAGAGAGTACTTGGACTTGCAAAGCGTGAGTGGAACATACAGGGTGGTATCAAAAAGAATGATGGAGTTTCAAACGGCTGTAGGTTGTGAAGTATCGGACCTACAGCGCTCTGGCAGGACTTAAATGAAAGAAGGAGTTGTCAAGTTTTGAACGACTGCCTCTAGATGTCTCTGATACTAGATGTTTCATAGTCGTAACTGAATTACGCTTCGTGAACTCGATCACTTCTCTTGTGAGAACGCCATCTTAACAAACTGGACAATAAAGGCTGGCGACACAAACGGGAAATTTGACACGAAATTAGCGCTGTAGATCCAATACTTCACAACCTACAGCCGTTTGAAACTCCACCATTCTTTTTGATACACTCTGTATTCTATAATTGTTGGAGGCAGTTAGACTTGAAGTTAGGTCGTGTCTAATCGCAGAGCAACAACAGAGCGGCCAGCGAGGCGAATAAAATGGTGGACTTCGAACGTTATCAAGAGTTGTTAAGAACTTGGCGCCAAGACGACCGAGAATTCAACGCCTACGCCAAAGAAGTGTTGGAAAATTGCAAGGAAATGGGTCGACCCGTCGAGCCCATACTTAGAGCGATTAAAGTAATTGTTATATATATATATATATATATATATATATATATATATATATATATATATATAATCAGCTTATATCAATTACAATATTATCTAGATTTCTAATTTGTCCTTCAACAACTATGATGGAAATTTATTTTTACATCTTACCTTGCTCCTTTTCTAAAATGGTGCTGAGTAGTGCACTAGTAAACGTCTTAGTTAAGCGTTAAGTATTTGATTAGGACAGTCAGCAGTTGACCAAACACTGGGCTGGCTTACTTTACCCGTGACTTATACCTATCGGTTGTACTATGTATTTTTTTTGCAGAAATATGCAGAAGATAATGTTTTGCTGGCCGACGCTGCAAACGATAGCGTCGAGAAAATAACAAACATTCCAATGGGTTCGTTTAAAAACTCTTGCCGCCAAAAGTAAAAAAAAAAAGTCATCATTTGTCGAGATAACGTTTATTGTACAAAGTAAACCGATGTCAACCAATTAAACGTTAAATCAAATAACAAAAAAAACAATTTGTTATACTCTTATTAGCCTGTGTACAATTGTCCCACCGAACAAGTATTTATTTAAATTGGGCTATACATAGAAATAAGGTGGTCGACTTAACTATTTCCTTTGCGACCGAGACGCATTATTATTATTTATTACAAGCAAAAGCACTTGAAATAATTTATATTAAGTCATAAATCGCATTACAATTATACCGGATTAGATTACGCTCTGTTTGAACTTAAGTTTCTTGCACAATAATATCCTATTGATGTAGAAATTAGCCAATAACTATTTTGCACAACTACAAACGATAGATTGGATACATAGAAAATATGTAATAACAAAATTTTCTGTAGAGTAGGTGTAGATAGTGAATTATATGTTTACATTTGTTAAAAAGATCAATCAAAAAAATAGACTAGATAATAAAATACAAATTTACTTATCCGTTGAATATTAATTTTATTGGTAGAAAGGTATATGTAATGGACTTATCATATATTTGATAACAAAATTCGTTATTTGGAGGTTCGAACAAAATAATTATGATAAACAAAGATGAACATTTTAAATTATATACACAAATAATTAGTAAGAATATTTATTTTCAGAATGTGACTATTATTCAATTACAGCTTAGTTGGTAAACTAAATTGTTGCCGCGGGCCTCAGCTAAAACAAAATATTAAATTATTGTGAAGAAAAAATCGTTTATTTATATAATTAGCTTGCACATACATTTTAAGTTAGGCTCTTTTAAAAATGATTAAATTGTTTTAATTTTAAAATAATTTTGATTTACAAATAACAAATTATTATGAAAAAAATAAAAATGGTTTATTTTAAATAAGTTCATATTTATACTTCATAAGCATGCAAAATAACCCCTTAATTCTTTTTTGCTTCTATTAGGGTCTCATATAAGGTTTTTATGTCCACCTCAAAACCTTATAAATAACCAAGTAACATCGGTCTAATATATACATTTTAATTCACATCCCGAACTAAGTTATTCTACTATGACTAAAGACTTACGAGTATCGTCCAACACCCCTCCTGAAACATTGAATAAAATTGCTTATTCAATATCACTTTTATAAGATAAATAAGTTATATCAAAGACTCAAAGATTTACCATCACCGCCTGGAGCTGGTGGATCTGAAACATAGTAAAAATAACTAAAGTACTTATTTTCATAATTTTCAAGTGCATTGTACATAGTATATATTGGTATAATAATTTTGAATTGTTTTCCTAAAGATTTTACCTTTATTGGTCACGAATTATAGTTTTAAAATATTTTTTGAACTAGACACACAATTTTATATAATAATATGCTTATGGACATTATAAGTACAGGCGTTCCCATCCAAAACAAAATATTGTAAATATTTTCTTTAAAAGGCTTAGGATTTACTTTTACCAGTATCAATTGTTTGTTTAATATGCAAATGAAAATGACAAACTTAAAAATGCTAGTGTCTTTGTAAACCACAAAACATTATATTATCATCCAACTTACAGCAATTAAAAAAACAAATAATAACATAAATAAAACTTATAACATAAATAAGTTTTATCTAATAAGTCTCAAATACTTACTATTATTGCCCTGCACGGGTGGATCTAAAAATATCGAAAAAGAACTCAAATACTTGTTTTGTCTATTTTCATTGTTATTTTTTATGTACCTATATTAGTATACTAATTTTTTATGGTTGATCTAAACCATATAACTTTGTCAGCCACGAATTATAGTTTTCAACAAATGTTTTAACTAGACACACATTTATATAAAAATAATATACTGCTTAAGACATGGCAAATGTATTCTTATTTTCTGCATTTATGACATTGTATACACGTTTTAAGCTCCATTGAAAAGAATTTTAAAACTGCTATACTATCTTTGTGATGTACAAATATAATTTAAAAATAATAATCAAATGTATGTTTAATTTCACTTTTATAACTTATTTATTAAATCAAATCAAATTTATTTTATTAAAGTGTCCAAGACTTACCATTATCTTCTATCTCTGGTGGTAAAATTTGTATCGGTGGTATAAATTGCACAAACGGTAGTATTGGTATAATATCTAAAATATGGAACAAATTAATCAAATACTTGTTTTAGTATTTCATTACTATTTTTCAAGTTTTTTATATATTATACTTTTACCTAACCTTCAGTTAGTTCTTAGCTAACTTTCTTCTGTGATTTATTAATAATTATCACGTATGTAACACGATAAGAAAAACTGCGAGGGTTTTTACAAACACAAAATATTTTTCTTAAATGAAAATTTATCATCAAAATAATTCACATGGACTTACTATCCTGATCTATTCCTGGCGTATCTGTCAGTTGAAAAATTAATAATAAAAATATATATTCCATTTCATTTTTATAATTTATATATATTTTATCAATATCTCAAAGACTTACTATGTTCGTCCAACTCTGGTGGTAGGGTCTCTGAAACAATGAAAAAACAACTCAAATACTTGTTTCGCCTATTTTATTTTTCAAGTACCTATATTGGGTATAATACATTTTAATTGTCGATCTGAAACATTTAACATTTTTAGCCCCGAATTTATAGTGTTTAAATAATTTTTCAACTATAAGACACACTAATCTATCTAAATATATGCACATGGACATGGCAAACTTATTCTTATTTTTAACAATGTAAGACATTAATTGTAGAATTTTATATTAGTTTTAAGCTATATTGAAAGTCATTTTAAAACTGCTAGTATCTTTGTTAAGAACAAAAACTGATAATTGACTAACGAATAATAAAAATATATATTTAATTTTTCTTATATAACTTATATATAAGTTATATCAAAGTCTCGAAAACTTACCTCGTATTCCCGCGTTATCTAAAATGTCCAAAAAAATGACTGGCGATGGTTCATCTGAAAAATTAGTTAATGACAAAAATTGAAATTATCATCCCACTTGCAGACATTTAAAATGCGAATACTAAAATTGCGTATTTTAATTTTACTTTTATCATATACTTATGTTGTATTAAAGTCACAAAGACTTACCATCACCATCTTGTACTGTTGCATCTGAAATATCGAAAATTATACCCAAACACTTGCTTTTCCGATTATATTCAATATCATTTTTTGTGACACATATAAGTTATATCAAAGTCTCAAAGAAATATCGAACAAGTTACTTATATATTTATAAGTAGATATAGTGCATCATGTAGAAATAATATATTATATTAATTTTGATCCAAAAGTATTTAACTTTATTGTAGCCACAAGTAATATTTTGAAAATAATTTTAATAATACCAAACAAACATTCCTACATAATTTGTCGTTTTCACTTCCTAATAAATTTGTTAGGTTATACATTATTATATTATAAAGGTAGTCGAAATATTTTAAAACTGCTATTATAATTTATTGAAAAACAAAAAAATTATATTAATAAAACTTATATCAGTCATTGAAATTAGTTCAGCCATTAAAATAGAACAAATTAAGCTTTAAACTTACTAACTATTCCATTAACACCTGAAACATCAATATGTTTGTATAATTTACATTTTTTATATTTAATTTATTTTTCTAAAAAAAAAACATTAGACGTCATAATAAAAATATTATATACATAGAGGAAAAAACTTTTTTGAAATTGCAAAAAAATCTAGAAATCAAAACTTAACCTTATTATTATGATCCAACAATTTTTTTGTTATATACCTCTACACGCTGCCAGAATAATGAACACCATGGCTGTTAAAAACAGAATTTTGCTTTTAAATTTCATTAAAAAAAAATTTTGAAATACTTAATGAAGTATGAATTTTCGGAATTAAAGTTAAAGTAAAACACCAAGGAAGTTGAATAATAATATACTCGAGCCAACAGTGCATATTTTGCTTATATTCGTTACAGCAAAACGACAGCGAACGGTGACGTACAATTCATGTTAGCTGTAAAAATATTTTTATTTTCCAATACTTAACACTTATTAATAATTTTTTTTAATTTTCAATACTTAATGCTTCAATGTTTACCTTAAATTTAATACTCCGATGACTATTGAAATGTGTCTTGTTTTTTTGTACTCACTTTTTTAATGTGAACTTAATTATTTTGCTATACCGAATTACACTGTTTAATTGGTTTTATTCGACAAGCATGTGACAGTATTGCGGATTTCCAAACGACGGGCGTTCACATAATTAAGTATAAGCAAAATTTGTCTTCGAAATGGTTTGCACCTTTGCCCCGCTTCAATAAGTTGTTTTTTTTGTCCCCATTATTTTGTATTTGTAGGCAAGTCGATACAATTGCAAAACATTGTACGAATTTATCGAATTGTATTTTTTAGATTTTTTATATGCTTACAGACTAACATAAAATTGTATAAAATAATACTTGTAAAAGTTTACCGATTTCACTAAACAGGCGTATTGTTCAAGGGCTAAGTGCACAGTTGTTTTGATACATTGAATTCTTTTTAAATGGATTTTTAGGTAGGTATTTTTCTACATTGAAAACAAACGTATGATTTTAAGCTAAAGTAAATAGCACCTAGTATATTTTTTTTAACTGCCGAAGAAGTATTACACTTTCAGGTATTTGTACACAAGCTTTGTACAACGTCAAAAAAATGTAGGGATTTACACAATATGAATTTTCGTTACTTATGTGTTTTACAAAAAATATCTTAATAGCGTTCCCATTTCGTTTTTCTTCTTTTCTCACATAATATGTACTTTGTTATTGTAAAAACTCAAAGCAGCAGTAAAAACAAATAGTTAAAAATAGACTAGATAATAAAATACAAGACGTTTACTTATTCGGTGAACATCATTTTTGGACATACCTTGGGTAAACCTAGTTTATTATTGCTCTGTAAAAATATTTGTACAATTAACACAAATGTATCCATTAAAAGGCAACCTGAGATATTTGTGAATCTTTTAAGCCGCTGTACAGCCCTATTAGTGTGGTATTTTAGGAAAAAAATGTAATCTTTTTGAAATTGTTGAGCCAGGTCGAAATTATGGTTTTTTGTAAATTTTGACAATTGAAATCACACAAATGGGCAATTTTACCAGATATTCTGATTCCAGACAAAATTCTCTTGACTTTGATCTAGGTTTGAGCCTAATAAAATTTCTATATTTCATACAAATTCTGTAATTTATTATTAAATTTCAATATTTCATAAAATTTCTAAATTTCATAAAAATTCTATATTTTATTATAAAAGTTCTATAGATTAGGTTGTTAGGTCGCACTACGATTTTCACACCAGGACGCGCTCTCGTTTTTTGCATAGTGATATAAATTGATTATTACCTAGTACCTAGTATCTGTGTCCTGTTACCAGCGCATCATTTCAACAGTATTGTATTATGTTTTGTATATTATCCGGTTAAATTACAAACAATTAAAACCTTTGGCCCTTCATTACAATGTGTCAGAAATTAAAATACTACCTATGACTATTAAGATATCCAAAATAATATCAAAATTAAAAAGCTTAATAAATCTGGTTGATCTTCTTGAAAAATATAACATTGTATTTAATGAAACTTATCAATTAACCATCCTATCACTAACCATTCCAGTATCCATATCCAGCATGTGAAAGGACTTTTTCTTGTCTAAGAAGATTAAAAAAACTATATGAGAAATCTATGACCTATGTCAAATGACCGAAATGCTAAAAAGATGGACCTAGATGAATTCGTCAATAGGTTCTCTATAAAACATAATAATAAAAAAATACTTTTATATTAGAACATTAATTATAATAATTAATGATTGTACTTCATTTTCAATATTGCATCTACGTATTGGATATTTGGATTTTATTGACTGTTGTAATATTGTAATGTATTAACTATTAACATTTTAAAAAGGTGAATTTAAAAATAATGAATGTTTAATGTTATTAAAAGCATTAATTGTACTTGATTTTATTTATACAATTAACATTTATTTATTTATGTATTTTATGGTATTTTTTTAATTATACTTATTGGCAAAACGATAAAATATGGCATTATTGGGTTATATATTTGTAGTTAATGATGTGCTGATAACTACCTTTTTATAATATGAAAAATGTCGGGAAAGAGAGGGCCCACCCAGTGAATATTTTCTGGCTACGTGCCTTCACGCCACCAGTTGAGTGCCGGGGGTTATATTGACCGATATGAATTCTATAGAACATTTGAGTAGTCGAGAATTTCTTTTTCACGAGTCATGGGGGGCCTATCCAATTCCATGTTACTGAACAAAAAAAATCACATGTTACTAGACTTAGTGTAATTAATGAAATTTGAAGTGTTGCTTTAATAATTTCTGAAATATTTGCTGTTTAGACATGTGATTTTTTTCTGTTCACTAGATAATCTGAATAGACCATGCCGCGATCCTACGTAAACTGGCTGTTTTGCGCATCCCCGCGCGTCATTAATTTAAAAAAAAAAAATTAGTTTTCGGACGGTCGCCCGTCGATAACTATTATACGCGTATTTTATAGTGATAGACATCTTCGCACTTCTCAGGTTTCTAATATTGATAGGTACAAAGTTTAATTCGCACGATTAATTTGTAAGACACAAGTTGATTTATATGTTATTTTTAAAATTATAACAAAAATAAATAAATCATTAGTTGTATAATATATAGTTATTTTGTAAAATTTATTGGTACAGCTCACTAAAAAAACAGGCCGTCTAAATTCTAATTTAAGGGGGGGGGGGGTGATATGATTAAAAATTTACAAGGGGGCGTAGAATAAAAAAGATCGGGAACCACTGATTTATGCCCATACTAAGATTTAAACGTAGGATGACTACAATAGCATTTACAAGTTCATATTTATGTTTGCTTAAAATGTATTAATTTTGTTTCAGAATTCATGTTCAGATGATATGGTGTTTGGTTGCTATATATATAATATTTATCAATAATAAATTGTATCCTTTTAGTATTACAATAAATAATTATTATATATATATATAAACATATGTATAGGCAATACCTGTTTGGTATTTCATAGTTTTAATATTATTTATTTTTAATTTAATAATTTAAAAATAGTACTTTACAACTTACGAAGTTGCCTTGATATTTTATACCTTTTTATTGCCTATATATATATATATATATATATATATATATGATATATGTGGTATATTTGATCTATGTTAATTAACGGTTTGCGAATATATATTATCAAAACCAACCATTCCATAACGTACAATATTATTTATATTTTGTTTTCTTTAAAAGTAATGAGTTAAATAAAAATTTAATATAAAATTTTAAAACGAATTATATGATTAGTTAATTAATAAGCTTCTACCGGAACGTTGTTAAAAATCGACTTATCCGCCGCGGCGGTCGGTCGGTTGGCTATATTTTTGTGCACGGGTTCGGCGGCTCCTGATGGCCGCAAAACCACCGGTGCCGGTTTTATAGACTGCCCCTTAAAATAATAGAGTGTTGGCAACACATCATACACCAACGCCATGACACTTTTTCTGTTATCAAATATTGCTGGCTCGTTTATGGCTAACTTCATGCTCGTAAAATAGGTAAATTATATTTTCTTAAATAGTACACATTTTTACGATACATTTATAATGATTAAAAACCAACTAGTTCATATGACGACAACAATAATTATTGGTAAATAAAATTTACTTTAGTTTCTTATTAATATTAAATGAATATTTTTATTAGAATTCTTTTTTAATTCATAATTCAAAACTCTCTTCATTTTCACATAATATAAACTTACAGTATTTAATATGAATAACATAATATATTTATCAATTATAGTACCTAGCGACAAAGTTCATACATACACTATGTTGTACTAATTTGTGTTACAATATTATTACATCCTATTTAAATAAAACTATTAATACAAGTAAATTATGTTTTACAGTATGATGGTAGTCGTCTGAAGTCATAAAAAGCTTATCGGTATGCTTATTCATTAGAGCGGTTCGATTCCTGAAACTATCTCTAGTCTGATTAAATGTGGTACAGTATGAAGTTATTTTTTGTAAAATTGTTTTAATTAATTTAATCTCTATTATTTTAATAATTAACATTTCAACTTTTAACTTATTTATTAATAATATATCTTTCAGTTTTAAGATAAGTCAAAGATGATGGTTGAACAGTTCTCCATTACACTAACTGGAAGAAATAATTGTTTTATCATTTATCTAAATAGACTAGGTAAGGAAAACACTCTAGATTTGTAGTATTAATACAATAGTAGTTTAATATCAATCTTAAATACCCTTATACATTTATTAATGTATTAAAAAAAAAAGAAATCAAATGTAAATTATCTTTTTTTTTAATAATTTAATTTACTATTTTCTAACATTGTTAGTTTTTGTACTAGAAAAATTACATTTACTTGTAGATCTTACGCTTCATTGGTATGAGATAACAAACTAGGTCCACTTGATATATACCGGTCGCATATATAGTCTATTCGTGAAATCACTCTTCTAAGTGTTATTGATAGATAATTTAAGTTGAATGGTCTAAAAACTTGGAAGTTAAATGGTATAAAAAAATGTCATTATCAATTTTCATTATATTTAATTTTAATTTCACAATTAACAAACGATAACATTAGTAAATCATTTATTTTAATTGGTTTTATATTATAATTATTATTACTATTATTTAACCATTTGTTTTTTTTTTCATCTAGAATGTGACCAGTGGAAGATTAAATGGACATATCATATATTTCTCCATGGACACTGTAATTCATAGACTGATTTTTGACACTATATTTGAATATTTCTTATTAACGTTAATTGGATTTTGTGCAAAACCCCTGGAAGAATATTCTGTATCAGACTAACAGTATAAACGCCACCCAGTAATTCTGTTTACCTGCTGTTAGACATCGTAGTATCATCTCCAATCTCTTTATATTTTGTTCAATTTTATTCAAAAAAGTGTCATTATAATTTATTATTAATCAAGTGTAATTCATTTGTCTATTTATTGAATAACTTATTATCCTGTCTTCAACGTCCATATAAACTGTACTGTATTTATGGCCACTACACTGATATCTCATTTGGCTAAATATTTTTAATTTTCAACTACATTAAAACAAAATTAAGATTGTTTAAATTTTTTTTTTTAAATACTTTTATTATTGTTTGAATATTTTTACACTTTGAGTGTCAATACAAGTATCTTATCATATTCTAGACTTAAAACTGTATTAGTTTAAAGATACTAACAGTATATTACTATTACAATTTTGACAAACATAATTATTTGCCTACCAAACAAATTGTAAATTTAGTTTCTATATTTACTTATTTATTAATATTTACTTACCTTAATAACATTAAAGTATTAATTTATTGTAAAAATATCTTGACCTAACTGAAAGATTGAAAATTTGTAAACTGTTGTGAAATTATGTCGATGTTCTTAGGAAAAAATGTGTAGTCAAAATTTTGAATACCTAGATTAAAAAAAAAAACGGTACAATTTTTTTTTTGCTAAAAGAAGTAATTATACATTTGTAAATTTTGATGTTTAGTTTATAAAATATACTTTTTTTAATTAAAAAATATCTTTACTTAAGTATCATAAAAAATTGTTTTATTTTAATCAATGTCAATTCTCTGATTAATATATTATGTATTAAATAATTGAATATTTCTATATATTTTATAGTATTTATCAGATTATTTGATGTGTCTTAAACTATTACATTTATTATTTCTATTATTACTATTTATTATTTATTTAAAACGACTTATCAAACTTTATGAATTGTACTTTATAAATTATAAAATTGGTCTGAAATGTGTACTGTGTTACTATAGGTAGCCTGATAGACAGGAAGTCTATATTGTTTTTTAGAAATAAAAGTTGTTTTTTCTTGGTTAGCTTAATTATATAGTGTGATTCACTAATTTTCTCTCATAATAATTTCAATTAGGTAAAATTATTTTTCAAAACATTTTTGTTTGTGTTATTTTACAACTAAAAACATGTTTTAATAACCACTTACTTTTTTGATAATTTAATATTAAATAATATTTAATTATGATAAAGATTCAAAGCTTATTTAGTATATTGTATATATTTTTTTATAATTTTATTATTTAGAAATGCACTAGTTTTTAGATGTAGTTTTTGACACAACAAAGTAAAAGTAAACCAAATGTATTTTTCTAAATCTGTTCTCATAGACACGTATACTCTCGATAGCGAGTGATTTGTATCTGTGTATTGTATTAATTGATATTATATAATGCATTCAAATGAAGGATGTTTAACATATAGAATACTCTCTCTGTTTGAGTATACAATGATGTGTTCGATATAAATTGTATTATAAAGTCCAGACACCGTTATCTTTATTTATATGCAGAGTATAATGCAGTAAATAATTATAGATTCTACAAATAAATAATAAATTATCCTTAGTAAGTTTAACCCTTAACAATACCTGCTATTGTCTATTAACTATAAATATATATAAATAATGTCTTGATAATAATTGAATAGTTTTACAACATATTTTTGATATTTTCATTTTAGTCAGTTATCAATGAGTCAAGGTATATAACTATTTTCTTTTTTAATAGTAACGCAGTTACATCTTATATGAATCATAATTCATGAAACACAATTTTGTATATCTACACAGTTTTGACCTCTAAACTTTAAGTTATCCAGATTAAAATATTTTTGAATATTGAAAACCATATGCTCAGTTATATTCAAATTCAACTATAAGAAACTCGTAAAACAATGTAAATATGTTTTAATAACTAAATATTATATTACTTTATTATTTGGGATTTAATGATTTTTCAAATATTTTTGATAGAGACAGTGATAACGATATTGGTTTATAATGGCTACAGTCTAGTAATTATAACAAGAGCCCTAGTAATTATAATTACCGACTGAAATAATAGATAATAATTACTGAACAATTATTTATTTCCCGTTTTGTGTATAGGAATGAAGACACATTTGTTAAAACTATTGGGGCCCTTACCTGAAGATAATGATAAATTAAATACCTACAACTTTTATACTTTTCATGGTTAAGTACAACTGTTTAACAGTATAAAGTTAGAATTATCTTCTACTAGTTTGATCTAGTATTTCTAACCAAAACTATGGAGGTATAAAATATACCTCGTAACACAATTATACCTTTTTTAATGATAAATAAAAATGGGATTATCTAATCTGTTTTTAAATTTTCACTTAGTTAAAATAGAGTTAACCTGACCGCTTGATATCTAACCTTTTAATTTCTGATTTGATAATTTTATTATATACATATTAGTGGAATTGGAAATAGCCTCATTAATTTTCCCATTAAATATGTCCATAGCTACGTCTATATCATTTAAATTTTCACAACTTGACCAATCTTAAGTAAATATTAACATACTTAAATCAGTCATATTATAGCTTATTAAACTTTTTGTGGGCATAAAGAGCTTTAATAGCAGATCTCGATGAGGTTAGGTTAGGTTTGTTCAGGTTTTGAAACAAATAGTAAAATAATATATTTTATTAGGTTTTTAAATTAAAAATAATTTATTGAAAGTTTTGACTGGGAAGGATGGAGAGTAAAATTTAAAAATCTTTTAACAATATAACACATCATAATTTAATGTTTTTAACTAGAAAATATATATTTTATTATATAAATTTGTACTTATTTTCAATTTATAAGTGGATCACTTTATATCGATAACCCTGTATGTATAAACATACCTATTCATTTTTACAATTGTAATGTATTATAACATTGATTAAATATACACGTGTATTTAACTATTGGTATTAATTACTAAAATACTTTCAGTGAAAGATTAAATAAATATATTTTGATATAGTTAAAATTAATAATTATAAAACAAAAAGATTTAATGAAGAATCTCTGCCACGACAAAATGAAATCATAAGTTACTACGACAAGGGCATCGTTCCCAAAACTCAGCGTCATTTTTTAAGAAGTTATATAATACCTACTTAATAGTTTAGGCAATACATCTTAATCACAGTGGATAAGTTGTGTAAATAAGTAAATTCCTTCAATTTCTTTGTAAAAATTGTTGTGAATTCATGTTTATAAAATCGAACTCAAAGCACGCATTGTGGGGTTCTATTAAAATTAAAATGAATCGTTTTAATAGTAAACATCTTCAGATGAAGAAAATTACTTAAGATCTATGTTATATTGTTATATTGTTTATCGGTGGCAGAAGATAAACGTATAATCAACGCTTGCTTTCGTTAAAATAAAATTAATAAAATAAAAATTTAGAAGGGATATGTCGAAAGGATATGTCGGCTGACAGGACTACAAGGCACAATCCGCTATAATAATATAATTTTCGATTATTCTACTTATACAAGAAAAGTCGAGAGTAGTAACTTGATTCTTGATAGTATAGGATAAACGTCAATGCGTGAGCAATATCAGATAATATTATTATGCTGGTCATCGAATATTGTTTTTGATGACTAACAAACATCAATAATATGTAGATTTTAAACGAGGAGTAAACATTTGAATTGGGCCAATTAGCTAGGTATTTTTTTTTAAATAAAATGATTCTGTATAGTGTATTATTAGTATTTACTAATAAAGAATAGACATTAGTCATTATTCATTACTAAGCTAGGCTTGTAATAACTACGTTGAAGATGAAGCGGCCCGATTCTCGGATACCTATGAAAATGACCAATGTATCCGCGCATTATTATTATTTGAATATTTGATGTAAGCAATGGAATACAAAAAACAAAAAAATATTGAATTATTTAATGTATTACAAATGTAGAGTAATAATAATATAGTAATATGTACAAACAAACTCTAAAATATAAAAAGTCAAGGAGGAAGATAAATCCCTTTTAAAACATGCTCTAGGACAATGAGCAGTAGGCACTCCTTAATACTCAACAAATACTCCACCGACAATGGGTCGTCGGCGCATTTGTTGTCGAGTTTTAAATGCCACTTATATACAAAGTAGGCAGGCAGGCACGGGGATGCTGAAAAGAGGAAAGGTAAGTGTCCTCCCCTAGATGAAACAACCTTGGCCCGAATTTTCCGAACAGACATTGGGAGGAGGGGGGGGGGGTTACCGGAAAACGTAGGATCGTCGTCACTATCCCGGACATCTGAGCACCACAGACCGCTACGCTGCGTTTCAGTCGGCTGTATTGATTCGTCCGCACTGCGCATATTCTATCGTCTGCGGTCTGGCGTCGACAACCTGTTTCACGGCGGACTGTTTTGATCGCTACCGCCTACCACCACCACTGGCCACTGCGGCCACCGACATAGTTTGGTACAGGGACACGGCGGCTGATTAGGTCGAATGGAACGCGGCCCGACGTCCGAGTAGTGCTGTGGTGAATATTACAACGTGAGAACCGTGTAGGTCGACCACCGTCACCGCCGGTAGTACTGTTATTCTATCGTTATGTCCAAAATAAGTGTTTAAATTTCCGTTGAACGTCGATATAGGTATTGTGAAATTATTACACGCGTTATTTAATAAATAAAAATTATTATAATAAAATACTATATTATAATAATCCGATAGCGGTGTCCGGAAAAGCGCGTGTGTCCGCTAGAGTGCGGTTCTCTTCCGCTGTACTAAAGGAGTCCTTTGTTTACTAGCAGTGTCTTCTTCTCGACTCTGCCGTCAATCCCCTCGGCACAGCTGATAGCCCCTTGGTCCGTCTATTCTCTATCATAAATAATAATAGCTATTGACAAATATTGCTATTGTTACCTGTTTCGGTGTCGTGTTTTTCGAATAATTCGTACCGAACGGTCGCTATGTACTTGTAAAACGATCCTACGCGCACTTTTTGGAATCTCCAAGCATATTTTAGACCATGTCCGGTAAGCTTGGCCATGGCTGTCGGTGGCTGGTGTTAATCGTTCTGGTCGTCCAGTTGGTCACACGTTCCGATGGAAACTGGCTCAAAAACTTTGCCAAGCCAAAGCCCCAGCTTAGGCTTATGGAAGGCGTCCCCGAACATTTGCATAACGTTATGCCATACGAACAAGTACAATTCAGCAGCCCGAATGTGTCTACGGCATACACTAGCTCTACAAAATTCCAAGCAGCCGGCATGGGACAGTTATATTTTATTACGGACAAATTTATCCAGTACATACTAAGTGACCAGGCTTTCCCTGAAGGTAAGCTACATTTTATTCAAATATTGATAAGTTATCGGCTTGATCAGTGGTGTAACTACAGTTTAAAGCTCCCAGGTGCCAAAAATATTTTGACCGCTAGGCCTTATAGACTATAGCCACTTGGGTAATGGAACTTGTCCCAGCTTACAAAAATGTTACCCACTAATCTCATAACATCATTCTGCTTTTTATATGTATTTTAATATATTGCAGGTAGGCCACTATTTAACTTTAAAAGTTTATGCTTTAAAACTTAATGTAACTGAATTTCTGAATGACCCTGTACCGGGTGATTGGTTAACTATGGACCAGTCAATAACTTAGAAGATATTAGACTTTTATTAATTATTTTTTTTTATAATTGTATTGTTATTAGCTGGGACAAATTTAATAAATTTTTTTAAATTATAACTCCGTCCCTTATATGTTAAAATATTATTAACTTGAGTTTTTTAAATAGTAACGTATATATTTGATTAACTTTTTGAATTCAGAATATTTTGACTGGTCCAATTTTGGATAATTAGTATTCAATTTTAAAAGTAATGACGGAAGGGGAAGGGCGGTTGAGTAATGCGCGCAGATAAAAACATCTCTACTCTCCGCCCTTTCCCTGGAGTTATAATTTAAAAAAATATATTAAATTTGTCCCAGCTAATAACAATACAATTATAAAAAAAAATAATTAATAAAAGTCTAATATCTTCTAAGTTATAGACTAGTCCATAGTTAACCAATCACCCGGTATATAGCTAATAAGGTTTAAACAAAACTTACTTATAATTTAGTAAAGCCACTTTCTATCAATGACTAAAAAATAAGTAACATGTTAAAAAAGTGCTTTGTAAATGTTAAAATTAAAAGATTTGCCATTTTTTTTATTTTGGATTTGGTGGAATATCTGAGTTTATTTAAGATGACCAAATTTTTCTGGTTTAAATTTTGATATTTATAACAGTTTTTAGATATCTAGCTAGTAGTCTCCACAACTTTCAGATTTTTTAACTATAAAATACTAAAGTATATTTTAAATCTTTATACTGTTGTTAGTGAATCCCCCTTCAAAAGGAGGATGTTTTAAATAGGTATCTTTATGTAAAAAAAATTGTATTTACCCTTTTCAACAATGCTTTTTAAGAGGATTCACCAATGTACGCTTGTCAATAGGAAATTTTACTAATAAGTTGTTAACCCTTAACTAGTGACCTGCGATACTGCCAGGCCCAAACTGGCCCACAGCCCCATAGTCAAAAAGTGTCTGCACATCTACTTTTGGCGCCCCCGCTCTCTGCGTCCTAGCATTCCCGTGTGCTGCTATATTATGGTACTTGTTATCCACCCCCTACCTCGCTCAAGTTTTGCTTTCTAGGGAGACGTTAGAAATTAAAGTACATAGGTATCCTTAAGCGTTTGGGTTAGGTGACAGGAATGAAAGAGGTGACAGGTTGATTGAGTTTTGTCAAAATGAAGAAATGATTATGATCAATACAATATTTAAACAGCCCAAGAGGCGTTTGTATACTTGGAAAGCTCCGGCTGACGGTCATAACAATAATATTATTAGAAATCAGATTGATTATATCTTAATTAGAAAAAAATTTCGTAATGCTGTAAAATGTGTTAAAACATATCCTGGAGCTGACATTTCATCAGATCACAACCCTGTAGTTGCCCGTGTTAAAATTAAGTTGAAAAAAGTAAAATGTAAGCAAGGTAAAAAAATCTTGGATCTATCAAAACTAAAAAAGGATGGAGTAGGACAAAAATTGAAGGATAACATAAGCAACAAACTATTAGAGGTTAAATATGAAAACCTAAATACCAATAGTGTTAACATCAAATGGAGAAACATTCAATCAACCCTATTGAGAGAATGAAAAGAAGAGTTAATGCCTGATCGAATAAGGAAGAAGGAATGGATGACAGAAAACATTTTGAACCTTATGGAACAAAGGCGTAAATTAAAAAATATAAATTAACAAAAGTATAAAGAAGTTAATATAGTAATTAGAAGAGAAATAAGGTAAGCCAAGGAAAAATTCAATGTTGAAAAATGTCAAGAAATTGAAATGCTCGATAAGATCAATGATAGCTTTAACTTACACAAGAAAATAAAAGAAATGACTGGTACTACTAGGAAAAATAAAGTTGGCATTATAAGGGGAAATGATGGTAGTATAATAACAGATACAAAAAGAAAGATTAGAAGATGGATGGAATATGTACAAGAATTATTCTCTCAAAATAGGCCAGAACAAAGTAGCATCAGAATGGATGAAGGATTTTATATAATGAAAGAGGAAGTAACAAATATATTGAAGAGTGCCAAACCAAGGAAAGCAGCAGGCCCCGATGAAGTACCTTCCGAATTGTTAAAATTGCTTGATGATGATGTCATAGATATGTTAGTTGATTGATTCAATACAATTTATGCATCAGAAAATATTCCGGAAGAATGGTTGACATCAACTTTTATTACATTGCCCAAGAAAAATAACCCTAAAGAATGTTCAGATTATCGAATAATAGCTCTAATGAGCCATACCTTGAAATTATTTTTAAAGATCATACATTGAAGAATATATGCTAAATTGGAGAATGACATAAGTACGACGCAATTTGGATTTAAGCAAGGAATGGGGACCAGAGAGGCATTATTCAGTATAAATACTCTTATGCAAAGGTGCTTAAATGTCAATAGAAATATTTTTGCTTGTTTTATAGACTTTACTAAAGCATTCGATAATGTACAGCATGACAAATTAATAAAAATATTAAAGGACAAAAATATTAACAGCCGTGATATAAGAATAATTTCAAATCTCTATTGGAATCAAACCGCCCATATTAAAGTGGACGATGAGTTCTCAGGCGAAATAAAAATACAAAAAGGAGTTAGACAAGGTTGTGTTTTGTCTCCCCTATTATTCAATATTTACAGTGAAGCAATTTTTGATGAAGCGATCCTCCACGAAAATATTGGTGTTAAAGTAAATGGGAAATTTGTTAATAACCTAAGATATGCCGATGACACAGTCATTCTGGTGGGAACCATGGCGCATCTGCAAAGAAGCATGGACAGGCTCTACATTGCATGCAAAAAATATGGACTTGAGATGAATGTTAAGAAAACTAAATTCATGTTAATAATGAAAGACCGAACAGACACTCGCAATAATGAATTCAAAATAATCTTAAACAATGACATAATAGAAAGAGTGTATTCATACAAGTATCTAGGAACATGGATTCACAGTAACGGGGATAACTCAAGAGAGATCCGGTGTCGAGTTGAAATTGCTAGATCAACGTTCTTTAAACTAAGGAAAAGTTTTTCAAACCGAGATCTACCATTGGATTTAAGAACTAGGATGTTAAAGTGCTACGTGTTTTCCACCTTGTTGTACGGAATGGAAGCTTGGACTCTAAAGAAAGCAGATGTTCAAAAAATCCAAGCACTTGAGATGTGGTGTTTCCGCAAGATTCTCAATATATCTTGGGTGGACAAAGTTACAAACACAGAAGTTTTAAGAAGAATAGACAAAGAACCAGAGGCGATGAAGATTATAAAATCTAGGAAGTTGCAATATTTTGGACATTTGCTTAGAGGTGAAAAATATCAGCTCTTGCAGCTCATAATACAAGGAAAGATTTGCGGGAAGAGTAGCAGGGGAAGACCTAAAACGAGCTGGCTGCAAAATCTAAGAGAGTGGTTCCAATACAACACTGAGGAACTACTCAGTGCAGCCAAGGAACAAAGAACATATAGCCATGATGATTTCCAACCTTCGATAGAAGAGGAACACGAAGAAGAAGAAGATGGTATCCTTATGTAGAGGCGCAACCAAACGTGTTCATATAAATGAGTAATAATTGGTTATTTTATTTTTTTATAAAAAAAAAAACCCCCCATCTATCTACGAGAAGTCACGCGGCCAGCTGCCATCATGGTCGAGCGTCGTATGCCTAGAATATGGGTGTATGATTAATTTGGACATATTAATAGAAAAATTAAATGTTTCATAGACTGTAGGACAAGAACATATACAAACACTTTTGTACATAATGTATGATTTATTTTAGCTTTGATGCATAGCTGAGAAAGTATTGTTTTTGTTTTTATTACTTAATATTTATTTATTTTATTTTGTCTTGACCCACGGTATATTCTTAACCTCTAAAACAATATCTATTAGTATTTCTAAAGATCATACATTGTACCCAAGTGGTCTTTTGTTGAGCCAAAAATTTAAAAAGTTCACCCCTTCCTCTTCAAAATCAAGAAAAATGTGCAAAATTATATTTTGCAACAAAATTACGATGCTTTATAACTTTTTTAAAAATGGTCGAATTAGTTCCAGCTTTGTATGGAAAATGATTTAATTATAGTTCCACCGATGAACGTTGACTAACCAAAAAAATATTATAAACCATTTCCTTGAAGGATTTGAAACTTTTTCTTTATTTCCATATTTTAGCTGAAGGTTAGGTTTAAGATCTGAAAACTAGACTGAAAGTAGATCTAAAATAGAGCTATAACATATACAATTTTCTCAAAAATCTGTACTCAAACTTTTTTTTGTTATTAACATTTACCTATTGTTTTGACATCGTAATAGTATTATAAATAAGTAACTAATAATTAATAACATAATGCATATTGTTGTTAAGGTCACTTTAAACTAAAAATTAAGATTTTATAGTAACCATTAAAGGTCTTACTATGTAGTATTTTTGCTTATAGTCCTTGTACATTTTTATTTGTATTACAGTCTGTAAATGATTGCTTTGGTATGAAGTAACCTTTAATCCTCTGACTCGGCTCATTTTCTTATCTCTAAATATTATTCCTGTTTTTTTACTACCTAGTCTACCAAGGTAGACTTTGCTCTTGTCAATTATTTGTTTTTGTTAGGTCGTTAAATAAATTCAGATAAATTTACCACTTAGTAATTCCCTACTGTTTTGAAAATCGGAATTCAAATACATTTTTAATTTAAATTAAAATCTAGAAGATATAAACCAAGTTTTATATTATTTGATATTAAAAAAGTATTGAGGTATGTTAGTTTAATGTAAGAGATTTTAGAACTGTTACTAAATATTTGTAAATAATTGCCCTTTTTCTGATTAAGTGTTAAAAATTGCACATAGTCTAGTATTTGTTTGGTGGGAATACATTGCAAGAAAGAAACCAAATTATAAATTAACAATTGCATTTATCAATCATATTATATTATGTATATTTAATTTTATCAATTATTAAAACCCCATGATCATCAATTTTTTTATTTATATAGATAATTAGGATAAATATAAGTCAATAATGTTGCATGTCGAATAATTAGAACTGTTATTATGAATTTTAAAAGACAATTCTGACAATATTATTATTACATCCTATTGATGTCAACAGCTAATACATTTATTTAGTTTATACTCATTAAATGTAATCAATGAAATATTTTACATCAATTATACAAGGTTGTACAAAAAATTGATTTATTGATTTAAATGAATCAATAAACATTTAATGGTTCATTAAACATAATTTATTGGTACTTAAACTTATAAATTTTTAGTTAAATGACCTTTACTAAACATTCATGCAACCTGTCAATAATGTTCTAATTGTTTTTATATTAACTAAAATCAAAAACTTAGTACATCTTTTTAATAAATTTGAATGCATCATTATATTGTATCTTGAAACAGGAATAACTAAAATCAGATAGTATCTGTTTATATAACATCTTTCTTTACGCTTGAGAAGTTATCATGGCTGCGCCATCTGAATCTGAACCAGACCTTGGCTCTCTATTTTGTAATGGTTTCTAAATGATGCCAAGTTTATCAAATAGTTTGCATTGGTTTTTTAAACTGTTGAATATTATATTAGAATTTATATCTTTTATATATTATTTTCAATTTTCATGTTTTATTCTATGAGTTTATACTACTACTAGTTGAGTATAACTACTACTTCTATAGTATATGATATATAAAATATTATCATAGAATAATTTCATTTACCCTTAAATAATTCTTAAACCCTTTGTATTTTATTAAATGGAATAGAAGGTTGTAATAAAATATAAATGTACACAAGTGTTGTAAACAATTTACCTAAAACTACTTTTTCTGCTTCACATCAGAAGTCAAAAGCTTTAAGATATGTATTACAATTTTAATATTTTTAACAGACACAGTGTTTATTTATGTGTTAATAAATACCAAGTATACGGTTACATTTAAATAATAAAAAATAAAAACACTTAGAAATCTAAGCCAATTTTTGTTTTATAAATATGTATATATGTTGTTTTAAATGTTGTTGAACATTTTTTTATTTAAATTAAAATTTATTTAACATTAAAAATAAGAGCTGGGTATAACTTTTTGTATTAAATTCTATAATAACAATTGAGAAAAATACCAGATCAGCCCACTTGGTTATTCCTAATATGACAATAAATTACAGGTAATTTAATATGATGTAGGCTTCATTAAAAATTACTATATATATACTTAAAAAAAAAAAAATGAAACAATTATATAAAATTGTTAGTTCTTTAAACTATAAGTTGTACATGATTAGTATTTATCTGCTACTACCATCATTCCCATCATGGCCATCAAGGAAGCAGTTGGTAGTAAATTTGAGTTTAATATTTCATACTTATTTTGTACTGTGTGTGGGGGTCTTGTCCATCCACAACTTCTGCGAATCGCTTTTAACCATTTAAAATAGCGACAATTTCTTTCATCTTGTGTAGTAGTTGGTTTTGATATGAAAGTTGGTGTTAGATCGCTTTCAAACTTTATATTAACGGACTGGGCTGCTGCTTCTGCCGCCCCATATATTGCTATACGAGTTGCATGCATCCTTACTACATCCACGCCCAAAATATCTGCTTGGTAACACAGTAAATTATCATAACACGAGTATTTACCATCTACAATTATTAGTGATGGACTTACACCTATATCTTTTTCTAGTGCAACACATACATCCTTGGTATGGAAGCATATTGATTCTAGTGCTGCCCGAATAATATGATTTTTCTTAGTGAAATGAGTCATTCCACATATTATACCTCGAGCATCCGGTCTCCAATATGGTGTGGTTAGTCCATTAAAAGCTGGTACAATGTATATATCGCTAACATCAATGTCTAATGAATTTAAATCGTCTTCATTACTTAAAATTTTCATTTTGTCTTTTAACCAGTCTGTTATTTGCCCACCAATTGATGTCCAACCTTCAAGGGCATAAACTGCTGGTTCATTGCCAATTTGGTATGCAATTGTGGTAATCAGGCCATTACTTGAATTTATAAATTCAGTCCCAACATTACATGTTACTGTGCAACTATCACCAAATCTGCTCATTATTTGACCGAATTGTTTACAATTTGATCCATAGAAAGCGGCTTGGTTATTAGCTAAAATTGAACCAATCATAACACCTTTTAATTTAGTCATTTGTATTATTCCATATTGTTCAGAGTTACTTTTTATTGTTGGAAGTAATGAAATAGGGACATTGAAAATTTTGCATGCTTGTGCTGACCATTCTAGTGTTTTCAAATCCATTAACAATGTTCTTGAAGCATTAGTAATATCGGTTACGTATAAATTACCATTCGTAAGTTTCCAAGCTATCCAAGTTTCCAATGATCCAAATTTTATGGTTTTTCTGGCTATAAGTTGTTTCGTGTTTTCTATGTTTTCGATTAACCATTTTATTTTGGGCCCACCAAACATCGATATTACCCTCAGACCGGTTGTTTGTTCTATGTATTTAAATACATTAGGATCTTTGGATATGCTATCTTGGATATAAGAATCTGTCCGAGAATCAGTGTAATGGATCGCATTGTAAATTGGCTGATTTGTTTCAGAGTTCCAAGCCAATATAGTGTCTCGTTCGTTTATAATACTGATAGCTTTAATGCATTCTACAGTGATATCTTTAAAATTTAATTCATTTATTACCTCATTTATGGTCATGCACAACGTATTCCAAATATGTTCTGGATCTACTTCGACCCATCCTGGTAAAGGCTTGGTAAGTTCAATCGCTCTAGATGATTCTGCCAGGACATTTGAACTGGATAGTACTGAAAATGTGACGCGTTGTGATTCAACATTGATCACGCCAATAAGTTGAACGGGTAGTTCTGCTTTCATTTGTTAACTGATGTGTCTGGCTTCGAGTCGGTTCACAAACTGAATTGAAAATGCTTAAATTTGAAGACGGTCAAATTGTTTTATACAACTGATATGTATTGAGCAAGAGGAACTATAGGTCGATTTATTGCGTCATTTAACATAAAAATATGTTAAATATTTTAAAAAATGGTTGTGTCGAACGCCAGCCATAAAGATAATAACTTGTTCAATTGGTGCACCACTTATAAAAATATTGACTGTTCTTAAACGTTATCGGAGGCCGGAGCATTTTTTTTTTCGTTTTGAACTAATGAACTTTAGTTCAATTAAATCACGGTGAATAGCTGTTTTAAACACCGGTCGCCGTTTAAGGTAGAAAAGATACATGGTGCGCATTATCGGAATTTGAGTGACTAAACTAGAATCACTCGTTCGGCCAGGGGTTGCCAAAGTGCAGTCGCTCACTTTGACTTGACCTACATGAGTTTAAACTTCAGTTTTTTCTCAATTCATTATCTAATCTGCCGTGACGTAAATTTATTTAATAAGGTGTTTCATAGTTGCTGGTATTGTTTATTGTTTTTTTTATAATAATAACTTGATTATATGTTTCATGTAGCTACATTTTTTTTTCTCGAAAATCTTAAACGGTAACACTGTATTATTTGACAACCTTTTGCCAACATCGTACACATGAACCACAACGACTATATACCAACTACTGAGTAGTTACAGATTGGAAATGTGCATTGCGCATGAGTTCCTTAATTTCATGAAAACTAAAATACCGTCTACCTTTATTTTGACTTATGTTATGCATTACAACTATGCAGCTGACATTAATTTATGACGTATGTGCTGTAGGGAAATAATAATAATAATTTATGTGCAATACCTCACCCGTACTATGATGTTATTATTTGTTTTTTTTAATTACTAATTTCTATTCACACATTCTTTATTACGTATATCGATTGCTCTAATAATATAAGGACTCATCATTATACAATTTTCTACGATATTCTTAATCGTTATATCTATTAATAACAATGGCATAATTGCCTCATATATTATTTTACAAAATAAAATGTTTTTCATTTACCTAATTATGTTGTTTTGTACTTACTTCGAAATCAAAGGTCTATCGATCGTATTACGAAGATATACCAAATTAGTGCTGACTGTTGATAACAATTTTCCATTTAGCAAACATGTTATAAAAATTTAAAAAAAAAATTTAATATTGATTACATTCAACTAATAACCAATTATTATAATAAGCACATCGAGAGCCTTTATCAAAGTTGTACAACTAAATTACCGCGGGTCTCCTATTTTGTATAATAATTATAAAATATTATTAACTGTGTTATAGACTTTAAATAATATCTCTAGGTGACAAATATTGGAAATTAAAATTATTGAATTACTATACTTATCTATATATGATGTGACTTACAAAATATATTACAAGTATATAAACATATAAACCACCATAAAACAGGTTTTTTTAATTTCTCGGTAATTTTTTTTTTAATATTAAATAAGTATTTGGCTTGTAATACATTTTCAACATTCTTTTTCTATTACGCCATAACTCAAAAGTATCATTTTTATAATAGGGCTGAAATTTAAATATAGATAGACCAGGCTGTATACTTTTTCGGCAACTTATTTATGGACGCAAACCCATACTAATCATTTATTCGTCGAGTCCACTTTCTTATTGTAATGGTAAAGTACAGTTACTTTATAAGCCTATACATATTCAAACTATTATATATTTTTTTAGCTTCGACGTGGAGCTAAGTTGATATTGCTTTTACGATAATGTTTTCTTATTATTTACATTTTTTTTATTGTGTCTACAGTCTACCCACGATATCATCTAAACTGCTAAACCAATTTCTTCATGTATCAAGTCTATAGATAAAAATCGCACCCAAATAGTACTTAATCAGGCGACAAGTTATACAAAGTTTAACTCTTGCATTTTAAAATTGAGAAACACCCCAGTCCCCAATAAAGAATGCATTTTTCATGTTGGTGGTGATTAATATTACCAATTTAATTACAAATAAGTTATTGGATATTTTTTATTTTATCAAAAAAAAAATGTTTAAAAATATAAAAATCAAATTATGTCAGTATCTAACAATATTTTCTCTTGCAAGTTTCCGTAGAAAAATAGTTTCGCACGCTAATTAAATCAATAGCGGTGACTGAACATTTTTCCCATTCATTTGATGACGTTGCAATAGGTCATCGATTTTTTTTCGTCACAGATTTGAGAAGTGTAGTTTCTCTGTGATAATAAATTGTAATGTTTATTCTCTTCAATTTACTATTTATATTTTTACGGTTGTCTCTATTATTTGCGACTGTGGCGACCAAACTATTACAGTGTACCTATCAAACTATGTAATTAAACTATTACAGTGTTAAATGTACACATCAATGGCATTTAGATTTTACACAAGTCAACTATTAACGTACATTGTAATCTAAAAAAAAACTACAACAAATATAGATATATGTTATTTACGTTTTATGAAAATAAATTGTTTGGCGTACCCAACATTTCTATCAGAAATGTTACTCTAGACAAAAATATACTAAACATTTTGAGATTCTTAAAATACATTCGGTATTCACTATTCTAATTATTGAAGTTAAGTCAATTCGAGTGACCAATGTTGTAATGCTATGTATTTTTATTTAATTGAATTTGCAATAATAACTAATTACTATTGTCTATTCCAGTTAGTAGGCGTGATATCATTTTTAGACAACGATAAAAGTTAAAATATATATATATTGTTGGTTAAATATGCATTCTTTGTTATCTCTCTCTTTCTCAGATAATTGGATGCATTTTCGATAAAGACCATTTAAACAACGTTTATGTTTTTTATAGTGACGTATTATTATTGTTGTGTGTGTATGAGATTCGCTTACGATTAAAATCTATTGACGAACCAAAATAAAACCGCGATAGATAAGCGTTTAATTTTTACGGTTAAATTGTTTTAAATTTTAATTTTCGCGTAGCGTTTAGAAATAAAATATTCGATTTCGACATGAACACAAGACAATGTATGTTTATTGTATCGACATAACAATTGCCACAGCACTTGACGTTTAATTTGGACTCGTTCATATATTGAGCTCGTTTAACGATAGAAAATCACGCACGATGAAAACTTCCTCGTTGTGTAGCGTATACATTGTCATAAGCGAATAATAATAATAAAACAAAGTAAATATCTCGCATCATAATATGTAATGAGTATTCCTTGGTCAAAAAATTAGCAATGTGCCGTCTTGATTTCCAAATTCCATCTAATAATAAATTATTAGAACGTCATAACATCAGAACTAACTAATGGAAATTCTCAACAGAATCGAAAAGATATTTATATTAGGAAATTGTTTTTGTTGTACAGTGTACTTATATTTGTTTATGATTAAGTGCTATTCGGAGTAGTTTTCATTTCAGATGACAGTCAAATTAAACAAGATAAATAAAAATAATTGTGTATATAAGTAATTAAAATAGTGAAATTGATATATTAAAATTACTTCTTTGTTTTTTTTTATTGAAATTTGTATTTTTAAGTAACTAAAATACTTTTTAGACGCTGGTTGAGATCACTTCTAGTGAGATTAGAGAACCAACACACTTGATGTAATTTGTATAGAATTTAATAGAAAAGTAAACGATTTTTGTAACAAAAATTGATGACATATACTACAAAATGTACAGATAGACATTTCATTGACAAATATTATGTTTATTATGTATATATTTACTAGTTTTGTTGTAATTATTCGGTTAAGGGGAACGGAAAGCGCTATTTATTTAGGGGAAAAGGATAGGCAATATTTGACAAAAATTTAAAGTTAGATGTATTAGAAAAAACAATAAAAAAGTAAAAACAAAAATGCTTATAAATATTTTTTGAAAAAAATAAATAAAAAATCGGCCTTTTAGCCCCCATAGAGAAGATATTAAACTATAAAACAATATAAAAATTATTGAAATCGGTTCGGTAGTCTTTATTTTTAAAAAAATTGACGCTTTCTGTTCCCCTTAAATATAAAATCTACAAAAATAACATTCAAATATATTAATACAGGATATTTTTTTACTCGTCTTTTTGGATTCTCGTAAAACCTAACTAGAACCTCTAGTTGAACGCGCGTGCACCTATCAAAACATTTTCCATAAAAGAAAATACATAAAATAAATAAACATTTTTAGAATACGTATATTATATTCTAAAATCAATACCCGAAACACTTGTCACTTTCTTTAGCTATATTCTGAGTTTGATAATGGTACTTGCCACACCTACTTTTTTTATTTTTTGCCGGTCACTCGCTGATGCATAATATATAATAATTGTATTGTAGTGCGTCGACCGCGACAAAATTGTATATACCTGTGGATATAATAGGAAGAAAGGAGGGGCGTGAGTGAGTGACGAAGAGGAGTGAGAGTGAGGCAGGCTGTAACGGGTCGGCTAAAATTAAGTGACTCATGCATAATACGGGTATAATGAACTCGATTATTCTTGACATTGTAAAAATACCGCAACGTACAATTCTGTAGTGGTTTATGATTAAAAAATGTGTTATATTTATTACAGTCCGAGTGTTGGGTGTAGAACATTTTGAAACATTTTAGCAAAAGATCCGACAAGTCAATATTGTGCATGATAATCGAAATTCGAATGAAGGGAAAGAGGAATCTGTATCATTATCAAGTGTTCTGAAACACGTTCGTCGCATGAGGTGTACGTACCGGTTGGACTCCTGGTTTGCCATGGGATTATTATGCTTTCCATCAGGTCTCTGGTTTAAGGCATACATAGTTATTTTATCCAGGTCTTCATTTTTAGCACAGTATTAAATCGCAAAATATGAAGCCCATTCACATGTATCAGTAACGGTACAAAGGGGTTAATATCATTTAATCTATACAGAGAAAAACATAGCCGCAACTAGCTTTAAAAAAGATCCAATATTTCATAATTATACAAAGTTGGCACATTTCTACGAATTCTATAGATCAGAAACAGCGCTTACCATGTGTAATAATATTATATATGGTTTACAAGGCCCTTATATTCCTTCGTTAATTTTGGTATAATTGATATTGAGAACATTTTAATAGTTACATCTAATACCGGTATGTATTTTAGACGCAGCTTTGTTTTATAGAAGATACCTTTTGTGTTCATTTACACATGTTTAGCTGAATTAATACATTGATTATATGTGTTGACTGATTGAATATTCAATAAAAATAATAAGTATTAGTACAATTCGGATAACCTTTTTTTAACTTAATTGATATTTATTGACATTTGTATCAATGCAAACGGATTGTAAATAC